GGAATGCTAATTTTTCGAATTGCTTCTACTTTTTCGGGGTCAGTACGCAACATGCCTTCTCCAATAATAAATCCCAAATATCTCAACTGACGAAAACAAAATTTTGACTTGGTTAACCCGATTGTTAAACTCGCTCGGTCAAGGCAATCGGCTACTTCATTCAATAGACGAAGATGCTCGTCGAAATCACTTGAAATAATCAACAGGTCGTCCAGGTACACAAAGACATTCTCCTTGAGTCGTTGGGGAATGACTTTGTCCATCAGTCGACATAACCTTTGTGCAGCATTACACAATCCAAACGGCATCACACGGAATTGATACAATGGACGACCTGGGACCGTAAAAGCGGTGTACGGCTTGCTTTCTTCGTCTAATTCGATTTGCCAGAACGCATATTTAAGATCCACACTGCTAATGTAATGAGTTTCATCAATGCGACTTAGTATTCCTTCAATGTTTTGCAGGGGGTATGCGTCCTTGACCGTGAGCTTATTTAACTTTCGAGCATCCAGACAGAAACGATTTTTTCCGGGCTTTCGTACGATAGTTGTACGATTGCTCCAAGGGCTTTCACTTTCCTCAATAACATTAAGTGCTAACATATTATCGACTTCTTGGTACGTGATAGCTTGAACCGCTGGAGACATTGGATAGTGGCGGTCTTTAACCGGTTCCGCACCTTCCACGAGCTTAATCGAATGCTTTTCTAAACTAGTACAACCTAGCCCATTTTGTTCAAAGGTCTTGAATTTTTTTACTATGCATTTTAATCGATTCTCTTGATCATTTGTTAACTCGTGAGGGTTGAGTTTGTAGTCGGGACCCGTATCAGTCATATCCCTGAAAACTTTTTCTATATTAATTTCAGCAGTTCCTATCACATCAGGGGCTAATTCGAATGTTCGCCAGAAGTCTATTCCAAGATATAGTTCTTGTTCCAATTGAGGACATAGATACAGTGTCATAAATTTTTCCTGCTCTTGGTATTTTATGATGGCTTTAATTTTCCCTAAAACATTATACTGTGTACCTCCGGCGGTGGTTACCCTGCTGGACATTGGTATAATTGGAATGCCAAGTTCTTCTATTATCTCTCGGCAATTTTTCCCTAACATAGTAACCGAAGCGCCGGTGTCTAGGAGCCCATTCATGATTTTTCCTTGCATACTGATTTCCGAGAAAACTCTGGGATCTGAGGCAATACCAGTCACTCTCGAAATAGTTTCTATCAAATATCTTCGCTGCTCACGCCACTTCTTGGATTTTTGTCTCAATTCAATAATTTTTTTCGGGATTACAGTAAACTCTGAGTTAAAAATTCTCTCCTTGACCTTAGCATAATTTCTTTGGCGATTTTCTAATGGAATGTAATGCCTCTGACCTGCAGAAAAAATTTTCGATTCTACACTACTCTTATCTCTAAATATATTATCGTTGTTTTTTATTAAAATTCGGACGTTTTTGGGTGCTAATTCTTCCGATTCACAGGGTTCTCTGACGGGTGTGTTTCCCCTGTCACTTCCACACCCCTTCGGGAGTTTCCCTGTTGACAGACAGGACACTTTGGGGTTACTGTGTCCGGCTTCCCACACCTATAGCAGAACAATTTCCGGACTTCTACTGGACAGTCCATAAAAACATGCCCCTTTTCTCGACAGTTCCAGCAGATAATTGGAACTCTAATGTGGCTTTGTATCCGGATAGCTGACAGCTCTTCACCAATATTCTCCTCCGGTACTTCTACATGCTTTTCATAAATTTCATCATATATTTCATTTACTTGGCGGATAGGTCGCTGGGGGAACGTTACAGCTCTATTTTCGCGCCTAGGGAAATTTCTCTCAGCTTCAATACATTCTATTCGTAGCTGTTCAACCGACGAAATGGTCATCTGATATACATGTCGTTTTATATCTTCACGTATATTTCCCCTTAGGATCTTAATCATTTCGTACTCGTAAATAGGTTGAAGTAATCTAGATCGCAAAATTCCCATCTCGTGAAAATAACTATTGATGCTTTCATTTGGCCTTTGTTTCCTTTCTAACAAATCCCTGAGTATGTCGAATTTGGATTGTGGGGTTTGATACTGGCTTATCAGCGCTTCTTTAAGACCCATCCAATCGGTGTAAACATTACTTTGTCTATGCAGCCAATACCATTCTCTGGCTTGACCAGAAACCAGAAAGGCGAAATCCCTCAACACTTCAGACCATGGAATGTTATATTGAGCCTGCATGATCTCTAACCGCTTAATAAAATCCATAACTCTTAAGCCTTTCGGGTCACCACTGAAATTTAAACCAAGTTTATCAACTCGTATTCCTAGTGGTTCCACTCTAAACGTATTCGTTATCGGGCCAGTAAATTGATCTGATAATGGAGTTTGACTAGCACTCGGAAATTGGATAATTGGTGGCATATTCCTATTTACTGCGTCATTATTATTGTTTGACGTCGGATTAGCATTACTATTTGTAATAGAATTAGAGGCTATTGTAGCCGTTGGGGGTACAATTAATTGTTTACGCACAGTGTCGGATAGTTCTCTCATGCCTTTTGATAAAGAATCTATCATTTTCTTCACATCAGATATTTCTGTTTCGACCATTTTTTTAACTTTATCTTCCAATGACTTCTGGACAGACGCTGCTTCATCTTGTACTAGTCCATGTAAGTCGGAAGTAGTTGGACCATTATTATTCAAATTATCACTCACTGTTGGCACATGATTGGTGTTCTGATCTCTTCGCATTATCGTGTCTGCTAGATCGATAAATTGCAAAGCACTCATGTTCCTATCCTCATTCGCCATTTCGTCCGACCCTATTCGTCTTTGCTTACTCTGCTCTGGAAAATAAGTCGATCGGTTTAGGTCAAAATTTTCGGGTCTGTCTCTCTTATTTCTTTTACTATTGCGGGTATTGTAGATCATGACCTATACCCAAAATTTATCTTCTCATTTGTTATCAATTGAATCTCGGACGAAACCTTTTCTTGTAAGTAAGTTTTAAATTCAGTTAACCTTTTTTTTTTAAATATGAAACATTTGCAACACAAATACTTTTTATAAATACATTCAATTACAATTACACATACAAATTTTCAAATTTGATAATTACAACATAGATCTACGGGGGAAGTGTAATTTTCAGAAGCAGTGTGTGTGTGGTTTTTTTTTATTTATTTATTTTTTTATTATTATTATTATTTTTTTTTTTTTTTTTTTTTTTTTTTTTTTAATAATAATTTTAGTGCCCTTTATGAGGTGTATGACTTTTCCCTTAGACATTCTTATACTTCTCATAAATTATAGTGCTTTGTTAACTTCGGACCCATGACATATCTATTACATTTCATAAATGAAAGCTCAGGGTTTTTATATGCAATACTAAGATTTTTGCATCTCTCAGATCAAAATCGCTATTGCTGCTACTCGATGTACTTATTCCTGTCTATAATTTATTTGGGTTATTTCACAAAAACAAATTTTAACAGTAGGATTCTCAATACAAATTGTTTTATTCCAGCTCGGAATTACAAGCTATTGATTACACCCTACTTAGAACAGTGGAGAAAACGTTCCCATAATATATTTGATATAGTAATATCGCACTTCGTAACCCATCTCTCTAAAGTTCGGATGCATACTAATATCACAGAATATTATTTGTCAAAAACATTTTCTTTTGTCTATTTAAAATCTACTAGCATTCTATGGCTGTGTGCGTCGATGTTACTGCACAGAGTTACTAACCTAATATCACAGTTTAACACGGCCATGTTTGAGTCGCCATTTTTTTACAGTGGTATCAGGTACAATAAAGCTTTTTTTAGAATTTTGGGCGCCATCTCTGTTATGTGTGCATTTGCTCGGCATACGATTAGGCCATCCGACTGTCACAGAGACTCCCAGGGCTAGGGATCTCAACCCGCCAATCGAATCCAACACACTAACATTGAAAGGGGACTTTACTACAATTGCTCTACTCTACGATATACAAAATAGGAGTCATCATACAGGGATCTCGGTGGATCGATCCCACACTCGCCCACCCTACCTGGATCCAGTATTTCCATTTCTTGCGTTTCTCTGAATCCCCTTGAACCACACGCTTTGAATCACACACTTACTTCATACCACCTTCCCCCCTCAAGTTATACAAATTTAGCAACACATATTAGTATCTACTGTTTACAAAAGAATCATTTTTAATTTTATTAAAAAAAAATAAGTTAGCTTTAAATATTTTCTTAATTTTTTTCTCTACTATTTTTTTTCTTACACTAAAATTGACAAACTGTATGGTATAAAAAAAAACAAATTAAGAATAATACCGGGCTTTCTTAAATCTATGGCTTTAATTACTCGGTAGAAACCAATATATTATCCTTTGCCTTGCTTTTCCCGCGCAATATTCACGCGTCTATACGAAATTACTAGCCACCTAAAAGAGCTCTCTTAACCGGCCTAATTGCCGCTAAAATTCCACGGCCTAAACTATCAGATCGAATCACAAGGACTCAAGATAATTTTACTGTAACACCTCCTAGCCTTTGAAAATAAACGCGGTATTTTTCCCTTACAAACTGATTATTACTTAAATCCTAAGAACTATAACCTATCTTATTACTAAATCTTTATACTGAATATTATATTTTTTTTCTCGAAATTTATGATTATTAACTCTTTTTTTCTTTTCTTTTAGTTCCAAAAAAAGGAGACAGCAAATTTTATGGACGTCACATATATATATATAAATATATCAAGGACAACACAACGGTAAGACACCTTTTACCTGAGCAGTGATTTATAACGTTATTGATTAATTCTTCTTATCTCTCCTTCCAGTTTACGCTTCTTTCCGGAGGAAACAGATTTTGAACGCCAGGCAAACCCTCAAATGAAGCTGGACTTGTTGACTGGTCCTTTTACAATGCCGGCGTTCTGGGCGGGATCAATAACCGGCACAGCAAAAAGCTCAAAGTTGCAGCTGGCCAGTTTACAATTCAAATCTCCACACCCTCAATGTAACTTTTTTGGCTTTTTTTTCCTGTGGACAACTTGCCACTACCTTGCGTTACCAAAAAGAAAAGGCAATTTCCCGCCGTTGTGCTGACCAAAACCGGACAATTTTCGGTGCTTCCAAAAAAGGCTTGATACACCACCGGAATATTCCTGTTGGAGCAACACACATCACATATAACAACACAATACTCAACAAACCACTGTTACAAACTACTTACACAATAAAAAAAAATCGCAACACACAAATTAAATTTTTCCACTTCTTCACTGCTCTCTAGCTAAGTTTCACCGGTAACGTCTTATTCTTAACTTTGGCTTTTCTTATGCTCGCAGCCTTTTATACCCCTCTTCTCAGTGAATCCCGCCAGACGCTCATTTTCCACGAAACACCATTTTCCTGAACCATTTTCAATTTTCATTCCTTTTTCTTTTCAACTGTCAATAGCCATTTTTTTTTTTTTATTGTGAATTCTCATTTCACCTCACCCCTGAGTCTCTCATTTAAAAATCAACGGCTGTCTAACTATTCGCCCAACCCTTTTCACTTACGTTACCAACTCGCCAATTACCCCAAACAACGCCAATTTCCTTTAACCTTATACGGCAGCGAGACATCAGCAAAAACATTTTAATTATTTCTCTCGAAATCTTTTGTTTTTCTATTCTTCTGATATTTCTTAAATTTTTATTTCAACGTGCCGCTTTTTTTTTTCATAATCATTCATTCAAATTGTGTCTAAACAAAATTTTTATCATATTTATAGTAGGTTCCCACCTACTCAGCAATCATAGGGCTGCCTAGTCACTTCTTAGCCTGAGTCACCCTGTCATTTACTACCTTTATAATACTCTTTTACTCAACCCTGTTCGAGCCTAATTTCGTACGTAGCGAACCCTAACAAACCATTTCCGGCATTTTGATCCCATCGCCACCCGGACTACACACCCCGCAGAAATTACAAGCAAATTGAAATCTCGAAGCATCCTCACCATCCTCACTAAAAACCCAGGAAAACTGAGCAAATCCATTTGAGGACCAATTATGGGATGCACTACCAACAGAATTGGGATAATTTCTGCGGTGGTTGTGGACAGGTTTTGCCAAAAAACACGGCCCCATATATTTGTTGCCTTTTTGCGCCGCATGTGAACGGCCTGCAACAGATTTTGAATAAATAATTTAAAAAAGCGAAATCTAAATATAAGTTCATACTTTCTTTTTAAAATCTTGTTCTACATATCTCTACAGATTTATTTCGCTACAAAAATTAAATTTTTTTCCTTCTAACGTAGAAAATGTTGAAAACAAGTGTATGTATTCTGAACATTTTTTTTTTTTGGATTAAAGATAATACACACACATACATAAATAAAGTTCACATGTTAAGCCAAGAAAAAAATGAAAATCCTCATAGTTCTGCCTTACCATGAGTTCATAGTGCCATGACTAAATCCATACTTGAATATACTGGTGCAAATAATGATTGTTTTAGTTATGGTATAGTGTTTGCTGTAAGCAAATAATAAAATTTTATGTTGATGTAATTTTTTAAAGTAAGTATTTGAATGGTCATCTATTGATATTTCAAGAATAAACTTAGAAATTCAATTTCATGAAAAACTAAACTTAATATGAATACCTTCTCCTCCTTCCGACAAAAATATTCCACTTCTTGCTTCCTCTTGTGTTTAGCAAAATGTTAGACGTTTCATTTGTTGTGTAGTTATGACAGTTAAAGCTAGAAAAATTTTCACGTCATATTCTATAAACATACTTTAATAATAAAAATTTAATGCGCGACTACCGAATTTTTCAACAATCGACTTTGGCAAGTTTGAAAAAAAAATCGAGTATCGTCTTCGAGTTCAGGCTCCAGAACTATGAATACTAAAAGTCGATTAGCAAAATCATAGGCCTTTGAACGTTAATGATTTTTGTCGGTAATTAAAAAATGAATTAAAGAATTCCACTGCATGTTCTGGAACAGAGAGAACGTGGGCACAACCTTATACTATTCTCATCCTTTCAGCTTTATTGTAAAACATCTGGTATTATACAAACGACATACATATATTTGAATGTTAATAGTTAAAGAGCTGAAAGGATTTCGCCGCACTTCCTTGCATAGAATTTTCTCATGGTAGAACAAAGATGATAAAGTCATGTCATTTGACAACTTTGTAAATACACAAATCAGAGATGGGGACCTATTTTCTATAAAGTGAAATTTAACAAGGTAAATTACAGAAAATGAAGAGATGGGCCTTATAATTTGAAATGAGGTTAACTTGATTTAATTTTACCATGCGTTTTCCATGTAAATCCCGCCCAATCCAAGTGCCTGCATCGTTTCCTTCAATAGAAAATGAAGAGATGGGCCTTATAATTTGAAATGAGGTTAACTTGATTTAATTGTACCATTTATTTTCAATGTAACTCCCGCCCAATCCAAGTGCCTGCACCGTTTTGTTCAATAGTGTATAAACCACTTTACATTATTTTCATCTTTCCTTTTTTTGTTCAATATTAGTTCAAATTTAATTTGTAGCTAGTTCCGCGCTCTCTTAGTGAATGTGTTCAGTTTTCCTCAAGTCTCATTCGTAAACAACGGAGGTCTCTCGGGGATTTTGCTTTCTGTCTATTTTTTATCAAGTATTCGTTTTTGGCCTTTATATTCGTTTAATTTGGGACGTATTTCATTTTTGTTTCCCACGCAAGCATTCGCTCTGTTTTGCAACAATAAACAATTTATTTATTAATACAATTATAGAATAACTAAACTTTAATATAACAAAATAATGGATACCGATACAGATCTATCGGAGAGCACTGGATTGCGCATGTCCTTGAGGGAAAGACCACGGAAACTGCATGCCGAACGTAGACTTCGAAGTGACGATCTCAGCTATTTGGACGACTATGAGACTGAAAAAACATCTCGTCCAGAGAAGAGAAAACTGAAACGCAAATTAAATGCAAATACCCGTTGTCTTTACGATGAAGATGGACGGATGCGTCACAATGGAAAAGATGTTTGCGATTGCATGGACGACGAATGTCCTGGTTGCTGGTATGAATGTGAAAACTGCGGTTCAACCAAATGTGGCGTCCAGTGTAGAGTGCATCGCAAATTCTACTATGAATCGATAACATTTGACGGCAAGGATGCCACAATACGCAATAAACATTTTCCAGTTACCAAATAAAGGAAATTGGTGTCTATGTCTGGAAATGTAGAAAGATGTATGACGGATGTATGTTTTGTCAAGCGTTTCTTGTCGTCTTCGTTTATATTTGTATACCTATTTATCAACGTTTTTGTTTTTTTTTTTTACTTATATTCTAGATTTTTAGTTTAATAAAATTAAGAACAAAATAGAAAATAAGTAAGAATTATAGCTATAAATGCAACTAAATTGTAATTTACAAACTCGATATTTATATTTGATTGCATTCTCATTATCATATATTTATTAAGAACATACGATTCGCCATTAGTTTTGTAAGACATTTATTTTTAAAAGATATCAGTTTATATACTTTTTCTATTATGAGTAAACAATAAATTTTACAACATTTAATAAAATAATAGAAGGAATTATCAATTAGAACCAAATTTAAAATAGAGTACAATGTGTTCTCTTGAAGGCAATTTACCCAACATGCCACATTTAAAATGTTTTGATTTTTATATTAACCATTTTTATGGCATTCTTCTCAGCGCTTCCAACATTCTTTAAACCGAAGCGCTATACTATATAAGTTGTATACAATATAAAATATATATATATATATATATATATATATATATATATATATATATATATATATATATATATATATATATATATATATATATACCATACTAAAAATATATAAAGTATTCCTTTTTGGTTTAAAAAAATGTTCAGAGCGCCTAAAAGTATGTTATAAAATTTCAAAATATATATCTGGAAGAAGACTTAATATGCATGCAAACTTTCTTGCATAAAAACAAAAGAGGAGCTCATTTTCAACTTTAAAATCCGAAACTTTCAATTAAATCAATCTTAAATTGACATTTAAGATCATTTTGTTCGATTTTTGTCATTTAATTTGTCATTCCGTTTGTAACATCTCTAAATATTCATCGCAGACCCCATAAAGAATATTTATTCATAATCAGCATAAAATTCTAAATCGATTTAACGATGTCCGTCTGTCTGCCTATTGAAATCACGATACAGCCATTATTATTATTATTTATTTGACGTAGACCTACAAAATTTGGCAGAACAATTTGTATTGTGTCTAGGATGGTTGGTATTGAAAATTAAATATATCGGTCCACTTTTTGGTATAGCTGCAATATAACGGTTCCTCCCGATATTCGGTATTTTGATGATTTTCCCCACATTTTTTCCACGTATAGGTCCACGTTTTCGTATAGCCCACATATAACGGTACCTCCCGACATTCGGTATTTAATGGTTTTCTCCACATGTTTCCACAGATTTGTCTAAAAATTGGTATTTGTAGGTCGTAATGGGTTCTAATTCATGTGGCGAAAACTAATATTTTTATGTCCACGTTTTGGTATAGACCCCATATAACGGTACCTCCCAATATTCGCTATTTTGATGATTTTTGCCACATTTTTTCACAGATTTGTCTAAAATTTGGTATTTGTAGGGTATAATGGGTTCTAGCTCATGTGGCGAAACATTAAAGGTATAGGTCCACGTTTTGGTATAGACCCCATATAACGGTACCTCCCAATATTCGCTATTTTGATGATTTTTGCCACATTTTTTCACAGATTTGTCTAAAATTTGGTATTTGTAGGGTATAATGGGTTCTAGCTCATGTGGCGAAACATTAAAGGTATAGGTCCACGTTTTGGTATAGACCCCATATAACGGTACCTCCCTATATTCGGTATTTTGATGATTTTTGCCACATTTTTCACGGATTTGTCTAAAAATTGGTCTTTGTTGGTCATGATGGGTTCTAGCTCGTGTGACGAAAACTTGTATGTATATGTCCACGTTTTGGTATAGACCCCATACAACGGTACTTCCCGATATTCCGCATTTTGATGATTTTTGCCACATTTTCCCACGAATTTGTCTAAAAATTGGTATTTTTAGGTTATAATGGGTTCTAGCTCGTATGGCGAAACACTGTATGTATAGGTCCACGATTTGGTATAGGCCCCATATAACGGTACTTCCCTTCATGCACACATATAACTATACCCACCGATATTTGGTATTTTGATAATCCTAATCACATTTACTCCCATAATTGTTTCAAATTTGGTATTTTAGAAGATTTGATAGAAGACAATCCTTGAAGTATAAAATGGCCTATAGAGGTTCCCATTTTGGTATGGCCCATATAACGGCCTCACTCACTTTATGGTTGCTTGATAAATTTAATTGCATTATGCAAACGGTCTTACTGGTATATGAAGTTTAAGGTAAAACACGCTTGAATTCAGATACTTTTATATACAAATCTTCTTTAATTGTTTCAGATATCAAGTGATGACAGTGGTCATCTTTTCTATCCGTTGTAATTAAGTTGGAAGTTCACAATACATTCCCACACTTCTTCTCTTTCTCAAAAGCCAGTGTTGGAAAACGCATACATTTATTTGTTTATATTTTTAGATAATTTATTAGTTTTAGGAAAAGAAATTTATAAAATATTAATAATTCTACCTCTTTGCTAGTCCATATCCTGCCTTATAGTCTGTAAGTATTGCAGGAACATGTGTCTCCATATAATTATGTTTTGAGTTTTCAAAATACAACCGATAACAGCCAAAACTGTCAGTAACAATTGCTTGAGGGTGATCATGTCTCACAGATCGGTATAATGTATTTTCTGGTGAAACCCAAACTTTGACCAACCAGTTAGCTGGCTGGAAAGCTGGCGAAATATTCACTTGTGAGCAGTTTTTCACGTTCACATACCCAAATGAAGTGGGAGAAGTCAAATATATGTAAATGTTATGTACTAGACTCGAAGTACTTTATATTTTAGATATTTTTCATTTCCATTCTGGGTTCTCCAGTTTAATCTGTTTTAAGACTTGGTATTGAGAAGGAGATATTGATATTAAATAGGTACAATCAAACGAAAATGTAGAAGAAATATCACGAGGAGGAGTGGGAGGGAGGGAAATAGGAAATAATAATTAGTGGAATTATAGATGACAGGACTTGAATGATTCGAAATTTATTCATCCGTTTAATAATTCATAATTTTCTCCAATTTTAGGTCCTTTAGTTAAATTAGTAAAATTTTAATAATGCCACGTATAACATCATCATCGCCAGCAGAAAGGAGAGAAGGATTGCGTATGTCTTTGCGTGAAAGACCAAAAGCGGATGCAAAGAATGCCGAAGCGAATAGTACAAATAAATCTAGTCACGAGACACGTCGAACAAAACGTAAAGCTGGGGCAAATTCTCGAAGTCTTTACGATGAATACGGTAGAATTCGTCACAATGGGAAAGATGTTTGTGACTGCATGGACGACGACTGTCCTGGCTGTTGGTATGAATGTGAAAACTGCGGTTCAACCAAATGTGGTGTACAGTGTAGGGTGCATCGTAAATTCTACTATGAATCGATCAAATTTGACGGAAAAGATGGTGTGGTATTTAATAAAGATTTTCCAAAAAGAAAGTAGTTGATAATGAACATTTGTAAACGTATAATGTAATAATTATAATCTATATTTATTTTTGATTGTAAACAATTATGGTTATTGGTTAATATTTGAAACAAATTAAAAACAGTAGTGTAAAAGTGTCAAAAAGAGTAGTTATTGGTAGGAAATTTTTTCCACAAAAGTAACAGTTAACAAACATAAATGTAAATTCTCAAGAATCAATTTTTGTTCAAAGAGTATATAAAATAAAATATTTATAAAGAAAATCGCATGCAATATTAAAAATGTAATAAAGAAAATATTTTTTAGGTATCTAATTCCATGAAGTGCGATTCTGTGACTTCCTAATGACATATATCGATCGTTTATGATTAAATAAATAATTAAATTTGTATGCAAGCTAAGATCTAAAGACTGCCGAACTTATAATTTTGTTCTATCTATTTTTTCATTTTTATTTTACTCGGTTTTTGTCTTTGTGTTGAAATAATTTTATAGAATCGCTAAATTGGAAATAAACCATTTAAAATGCAATAAAGTAAAATTCAAAATATTACTTTCAACGTTTTAACATAGCTTTAAATGGAAAATCTATTCTTTTATATACTTTTTTATTGAATATAGGATCCAATAAGTGCAAATTTTGCCTTTTTAATTCAACGATTTTTGTCGTTAACTTGAAAAAGGGTTAGAGAATCGCTATATTGAATATAAACAATTTAAAAGGAAATAAAATAACGCTGAAAACATTACTTCAATACTCTTCTATTAGTACCTAAAATGGGGACAAATCGAAACCCAGCGTTAAATGGAAAATCTATTCTATACTAGCGTTAATTCTTTAATATTTTTGTGGGTCGTGTCATATTTGCAATAAAATAAGAAAATAATTTAAATGCATATATACCTCTTTTAGGTCAGAAATTTGCCTTGATGGAGATGAAAACTTTATTGGTCGATGCCATTAAGAATTTTGAATTGGAACTCGTGACACGATCCAAAGATTTTCGTTTTCATGCTGACCTATTGACGTTAATAAACATATACATGGAAAATCTATTCTAACGTTCAATGGAAAATTTATTCTTTAATATTCTTTCTTAATAGATATGGGGCTTAATCGTGGTCCAAGTATTTATTGGCGATATTTGGTTATTTCTAGCAGTCTATTGAAGAACCTGCCGTATTCCACTTTTTTCGAATATAAGTGGGCAGACAAATTTAGTTATCACAAAAAACTGAACGACAAGTCTAGTGATCATACAAAATCTCTTCTCTGATCAATGACAATAAACCAATAGAAAATTACTTTTCTTTTACCCGACAATTTTAATTCAATTCAATCATTCTGTGAAGCTGGCTCTACAGGGTGAGATGAAAAAACTGGAACCAACTTCAGACTGCTGTCATTTCAAAGCCACTAGTCCGACAATTGTTAAAATTATTCCAGTGACAGCTCATAATATTGTTTAAAAACGCACAAAAGAATTTTGGTGAGATTTTCCAAAAAAAAAATATTCGTGATGGAATTCAAGCGTGATAGTGTGATATCTTATATTTGGCTGGAAAACCACAAGTGGCTATCGTTAGAGCACTCCGGCATTTAAATGGGAATAAATCTTTTGTGTATCGTACCATCGTTACCGTGATACTGGTAGCGTAGCCCGACGTCAAGGAAGTGGACGGAAGAAAACAGCAACATCAGCAGAAATGTTGAAAATGTGCACCTTCGGTTGGCCAACAGAACTCAAGCGCCGGCCATGGTGATGGTGTGGGCCGCCATAACAGCCGATGGTGGATCTCCGCTCGTATTAATCGACCGTGGCATCAGAATAAATGCCGAATATTATCGCGAAAATATTCTGGAGGGTGCATTAAAGCAAGAGCTTCGCCGGGAATGAGCCAAAATACCGCAGGGCAACATTTGGGCAGCGTGTGACGGTTTCATTGGCCGTTTGCAGGCCACAATTCGTGCCGAAGGTAACCAATTCGAACAAATCTAAACTTATTGTAAAATTTGATGCTATTTCCGAAATTTTTTGCTTTCATTCAATAAAAATTTAAAAAATTTACAAATTATGGCGTTTGACTTTGTTGCAGTTTTTATTATCTCGCCCTGTATTTCCCCCCGCTCTCTCTTAATATTGAACTGGTCGCCAAAGAAAAACACATATATAAACATTTCACATAAGCACGTTATTTGAGATCAGTTTAGGGAGAGAAAAAAATTAATAGATCTCTAAACGACGACTCTTTTCTAATATTCACCTACAAGTCACAATCAGTTTGCCCTAAACCATCAAAGCTAATGGAGAGATAAGTGTGGCGTTTTGTATACTTTCGTTCGCATTCTAAGCAAAGATCACTTGGAAATGTTTATACTTTTAATTCCCCTCGGTTTACTTGCCCTTACATGGCTCTTGATAAAACTGAATCGTGATTATGCATTGGCATCATTTACAAGGAAAATTAAGACAATTGATGGATCGCCACTTGAGGAGACTGCCTCAGTGGTTGGTGGTTTTTGGGGCAGTAATTTTGATTTGCTCTCAATGAATTTGGGTCTGTGTGCTTTATGATATTCAAAAATATTTTAAAATAAATAATATTTGTTTATATTTATATAGAGCAAATGTTTTATTATTCACGTGTCTTTGCCAAAACATTTAAACGAGGCTACATCCAATATTTCCTGCTGAATCCTGTCTACAATGTCATCGATGCCAAAGATGCTGAATTGGTTTTGAACGATTCTCGTATCCTGACCAAGGGTATATTTTATACATTTCTTCATCCGTTTTTGAAGACAGGCCTTTTGACAAGTACAGGTATGTATAAATCATATTGCACATGATATTTTGAAATTCAATGCAAATGCAATTAGGTGTGAAGTAAAAAACAACACAAAAAGCGACTCAACCCATAATCAATATTTCTATGAATCGTTGTAGAGCAATAGATCAGTTCAAATCGTTGATAAGTCAATGGAAAACATTCAGTCTCAAGGTATAATTTAGAAATACATTAAATAAATGAATTAGGCATTTGTTAAGAGTAATTCTTTTTTGAAATAATGAAATATTTCTGAACAAAGTTAAACAATATAAGGAATAATAACTGACTCAGAAAAAAAGTAATCAATATGCTAATAATAATAACGCCAACAACTGCCATCAGACATTCAATTACCAGCAGTAAGCATCCATTAATAATAGTTATCATATTTGCTCAAGTTCATGGTCTGTGTGTGTTGCTCGTTTCTAATCCAGCACAATTTGAGCTATTTTATTGACTTTGTGTTGAGTTTTGTTTAGGTGAGGTGTTCTGTTTTGTCAAATAGCTATCAAATTTAATAATTTAGTTTAATTTGAATTTTATTTATATTAATAATGTGTAATAAAGAAGAGCGAATAAAAAGTTCGACAAAATCCAATTTTAGCGCCATTATATCTTGTTTTGTTTTTATATAATGTGCACTTTTAATAACATTTCTTCAAATTGCAGACAAAAAATGGCACACCCGAAGACGTTTGCTAACACCTGCATTTCATTTCAATATTTTGACTCAATTTATGGAAACATTTAAGTAAGTACTTTCATTAGAAAAAAAAATAAAAAATTAAATTTCCTTCTCAAATTTTGTAAATTTAGATCCGAATCTGTAAAGTTCATAAAGACTTTGAATGACATACTGGAAAAGAAAGATTCGAATGGCGTAATCTCTTTGAGTGAACTAATTCCACGCGTAACACTCAATAATGTTTGCGGTAAGATGTTTTATTTTATCCTCCACCCTAGTATGGGTGGTATATTAAGTTTGTCATTCCGTTTGTAACACCTCGATATATACATTTTATACCCCACAAAGTACATTTATTCTTGATCAGCATACAATTCTATGTCGATTTAGTGATGTCCGTCCGTCTGTCCGTCTGTGGAAATCACTTTAACAGTATCTCCCGATATTCGGTACTTTGTGGATTTTAGCTACATTATTCACCGGAATTGTTTCAAATTCGGCATTTGATGTTCGTAATGGATACTACAGTCTAAGACAGAAAATTGTCTGTGCAGGCCCACGTATTCGTATAGCCCCCATATATTTTGCACAAATTATTTGTTTGGCCCAAGGACAAACCCTATTGAAATTGGAGATAATCGGTCAAAATTTAGATATAGCTCCCATATAAATCTTCGTCCGATTTGCCTTTTATTGTGCACCAAACGTGTAATATCAGTCCGAATAGTATGGCATTTTGCACGTACGATCAGATTGGACCTGAAAATAAGTATGCCAAATTTGATCGAAATCGGTTCAGATATAGCTATGTTCATCCGATTTGTTATTTTTGACCTCCGCAGCCGTAATATGCACTCTGTAATAACAATATTTGGGGAAATATATCAAATACAGCTCAAAAATACATTTGCTAATTTTTATCGAGATCGGTACAGATTTGGATGTAGCTCACATTTATAACTTCGTCCAATTTACCTTTGATTGTGCATCAAACGTCTAATATTCGCCCTCTAGAAGCTAGTATGTTAAATTTGGTGAAGATCGGTTCAGATATAGCTATAGCTCCCATATATACGATTCATCCGATATGTCGTATTTGTTACCCACAGCCGCAATATGCACTCCGTAACAACGATATACAGGGAAATATATCAAATACAGCTCAGAAATATTTTTGCCAAATTTTATCGAGATCGGTTCCGATTTGGATATAGCTCCCATATATATTTTTATCCGATTTCAAATTAATTGTGCACCAAATGGGCAATACAAGTCCGAATTTAAAAGATACAAATGCTTCGGCATATTTATTTGAACTTTAAATTATAATTATAATCATAGCGTGTATGATTGAATTCTCCCATAAAAAAACTTTTAATTGTTATGCGCAGCTCTACTAAATTAGCAAAGTGGTGTAGGGTATCATAAAGTCGGCCCCGCCCGACTTTAAGACTTTCTTTACTGGTTTTACTTGTTTTTTTTTTTTTAACTTCGCATAATATAATTGTTTTTTGTTTTACTTTATAGAAACCGCTCTGGGTGTTTGCCTCGATGATCGTTTGGATGGCGATGAATATCGCCAGCGTATTAGCGAGGTGGAAGAAAGCCTTTTGGAACGTTTGAAAAATCCCCTCATGGGATTCGATGGCTTCTATTACAATTGTGCCGAGGGTAAGAAATATTTGAAATCGATGGAGAAATTACATGCTTTTTCCAGTGGTATTATTGAGAAACGACGTGAACTTCTCAGCAAAGAGATGGAGCAGGAGGATATGAATCAAAATGATGTTGATGAAACGAAGTACGTTTATAGGCAACAATTTGAAATTATATTTTATTAAATAAACTCAATATTTCAGCCCTTATCGCAAACGGCGTTATGCCATGTTGGACACCTTGCTGCGTGCTGAAAAAGATGGCCTTATCGATCATGCTGGCATTTGTGAAGAAGTCGATACATTTATGTTTGAAGGCTTTGATACAACCTCGATGAATTTGATTTTTGCCCTTATGTCTCTCGCCCTGTATCCTGATATGCAAAGGAAATGCTATGAAGAAATCCAAGAAAACATACAGGGTGATTTGGCATCTTTGGATACACAACAATTGAATAATCTGAAATATTTGGATTGTTTTATAAAGGAAACACAACGTGTATATCCCTCTGTGCCGGGCATTGTGCGTGAATGCACATCGGACATTGTGTTTGGGGGGAAATTGCTATTCCCAAAGGGCACACAAATAAACATACACATATATGATATACACATGAATCCCAAATATTATGATGAACCGGAGAGATTTAATCCGGAAAGATTTATGGCACCTCAGGCGGAAAAACGCCACCCCTTTGCATTCATACCTTTTAGTGCTGGTCAGAGGAATTGTATTGGTGGGTTGTGACATATTTACTATATGAAAATTAGATAATTTAAATTGTCATCTCTCTATTAGGTCAGAAATTTGCCTTGATGGAGATGAAAACCCTATTGGTCTATGTCATTAAGAATTTTGAATTGGAACCCGTGACGCGACCCGAAGATTTCCGCTTCCATGCTGGCCTATTGATTCGCACCAAAACTGATATACAGGTTAAGATAAGGAAACGTGTAGCTACATAAATTTGATAACTGTTCTTTACAAAGTAATTTTTCCAAACATACACTCTGAATTTTCAAAATAAAATAATTTTTAAATTTTATTAATTGACATTTTTAAATATATTCTCTTAAAAATTTAAAAATACATTTTTAAATTCTTCAAAAACGACTCGAAAATAATAACCGTTATAGACCAACAATTATTATATATAAAGATTCTTCAAAATTATTAATAAAATCCACGATTGTTGATCTGAATGACATTCAACAAAAATTTCACAATGGCTCACGATGGAAATGGTCCTTCAACATTTAGTCTTCGTGGTGCATTTTTATTATCTTATAAATATTTTTCCAAAAAAAAAATCTTAAAGAGGTCACGACTTGAGTCCTAAAAGTCATTGACTTAGGTTTGTTTGTGCTCCAAAATATTCTTTAAAATCGGTATTATTGACCTGGAAAACCTTAAAAAGTATTCTTAAGATCCGTTAATATTGGCCTGTAATTCTTAAAAAATATATTTTGAAAACTTTAAATTTTAAAAAATTAAAATTAAAAAGTTTAAAAAAATCCGGAATTATTGTTTTGTTGATACTTAAAAACTGTTCCAAAAAATCCATGCTTGTAAGCCTACAGTTCCATCAAAAACTTTCAAAATATTAAAAAAAAAACAAGATTATGAACATGGGGGTCCTTCAAAAGTATTATTAACCAGGAGGTACTTAAAAAATCCACGACCATTAACCTGGAAGCCTTTGTATTATATATTTAAAGAATCCACGAATACTGGCCCAGATGTCTTTTATAATATATACCTGAGTATTTTTAAAGATTCAATGGTTAACGATTATTAACCAGGAGGCACTTAAAAATCCAAGTTCATTAACCTGAAGGTCCTTATGATATATTGTTAAAAAATCTGCGATTACTATTGCAGATGTCCTTTTAAAATATTAAATCCACGATGACTGTCCTGGAAATCATTCAAAAAATATTTTTTGAATATTAACTATTATTAACCTGGAGGCCATCAAAAAATATTTTTATAAATCCGCCATTGCTGGCCTAGATGTCCCTCAAAATGTATCTTAACAAGTAAAAAAGCAGTACTTTCGGCCGGGCCAATCATTGAATGGTCTATACGACGACGTGGACCTGCACAGACAACTTTTGTCAAAAACCATTAGAATATTCAAATGAGAAACTTAAAAAAAAACAAATCGGGGAATAATGTAGCTAAAATCATCAAAATACCGAATATATGGAGATACCGTTATATTGGGGTTATACGAAGATGTGGACCTGCACAGACAATTTTCTGTCATAGGCTGTAGTATCCATTATGAATTTAAAATTCCATATTTGAGACAATTCCGGTGAATAATGTCGCTAAAATCAATGTAGTACCCATTATGAACTTTAAATGCCATTTTTTTAATACCGGTGAATAATGTCGCTTAAATAACCAAAATACCGAAGATACCAGGTACCATTATATGGGGGCTATACCAAAACATGGACCTACATGACCCATTTTCAATACCAAAAGTCCTGCAGGCATAAAACACATTTGAGTAAAATTTTATCAACATACTTCATTTCGTTCGGAAGCTAGAGTGATTTCCACAGATGGACAAACGGGCAGACGGACGGACATCGCTAAATCGACATAGAATTTTATGCTGATTAAGAATAGATATACTTTGTGGGGTTTAAAATGTATATTTCGAGGTGTTACAAACGAAATGACAAACTTAATATACCCTCCATACTATGGTGGAGGGTATAAAAACTCGCGATTATTGCACTGAAAGTTCTTCCGAAACTTTCATAAAAATAAAAAAATAAACAAAATTGGAAAAAAAACTTTTGAAAAGTAAATGATTATTAACCCGAAGGCCCTCAAAAATATTCTAAAAACCCCCGACGATATTGACTAGGACATCCTCAAAAAATATGTTTTAAAAAATTATTTGTTACAAAACATCCAGTTTTCTAGATGTCTTTCAAACTATGTTTTTGAAAAAATCAACTTTTATTGGATTGGAAAAATATTAATAATATTTCATTATTAGTATCAAAAAGATTCTTCAAAAATATTATTAAAAAATCATTATAATTATTTTCCTCTAAAAAATCCCCCAAAAGTTCAAGGCTATTAAATGAAGAATCCTTAAAAAATTAGTCCTAAAAATATTAAAAATACGCGACTATTCACCTAAAAGTTTTTTAAAACACATTCTTAAGAAATTCGTTTATTCGTTTTATTGAATTAAAATGCATTGACATTACAAATACAACAATTTAATTTTAAAATAAATTAATTACAATTAAAAATATATTAGTTAAATTAAACTCAATTAAAAAAAAAAAAACTTAAAAAATGTATAATTGTATAATTGTACTCCTAGAAGTATTTTAAAAGAATAGTCTTCAACAAATATTTTAAAATCCGTGATTATTGCATATTCGCGTCCATTGACCCTTGAATGATTTTACAGCACACATGATAAATGATATTCAATAATATTTATAAAAATCCAATTTTTAATTTATTTATTTTTTAGTAGCAAAAAATGCTCTTATACATTCTCACAAACTCTTTCTTTTTCCCATACGTATGCGTTTTCATTTGTTTTCATTGTGGGTGGCGTATGAACAACTTATTAACATAAATAATACATCACCATGAACCATTAAACCGGATATGGTTTTTTATGACGGAAACTAAAATTCTCACAAGTTATAATTTATTCCTCCCATAGATATTGAATAATATTTAAATAATTAAATGACACTTTATATAAGAGATAATGCAATTGTACAGTATTCCCAAATATTTGGACTGCAATTTAATTACAAACAAAAAAAAAAACAGAATTTCCAACATATTTTCCAAAATATGTAAATATATTTTTTGTGAAAACTTTTTTAGAGTTTAAATGCATTTCCTCAGAACATAAAATTTACCTAATTTAATATTTGAATTTTTTACTTCGATTTCGAAATACTGTACAAATTTGTCTATAAAATGTGTCACATTGCGTTCGCAATATTCAGTTTCCATTGATTTGAAATTACTTATATTTTTCAAATGTTATCGTTTTTAGTGGCTATTTTAATATGTGTTGTTATTTTCGGTTTGAGACAACTTAATCGTAATTATGCACTAACATCGCTGACCAAAAGGATTAAAACTATGGACGGAACCCCCCTAGAAAATGTCATTGATGTTGTCGGTGGTTTTTGGGGCAGCAATTTCGATTTGCTCACAATGAAGCGGAGTGGTATGTAAATACCAGTAAATATTTAACTACATTACCATGGTTTAACCAGACGTTTACACAAGACAATTTGTCTTGAATCAGAGTTATTTTTTATTCTACCACACACATTCTTTCTTTAAAATGTTTAAATTACGTTGGAATCGGATTTGTTTAAAAACAAAATAATATCACAAACAAGAAAATAATTCAGGGGGAAATTAAAGGAACTAATAAATGTTTAAACATAGCCTTGTCACAATTTGATTTATATTTTTCCAGAACAAATTTTTGACTACTCTCGTCGCCTGGCAAAGACTTTTAAACGCAGTTATGTTCAATATTTCTTGTTGACCCCAGTTTATAATGTCATCGATGCCAATGATGCGGAGATGATACTCAACGATTCCCGTATTTTGGACAAAGGATTGCTGCTTCGTTTTTTGCATCCCTTTTTGAAAACAGGCCTATTGACAAGTTCCGGTAAGTAGGATATCCTTAATTACGAAATGGGGAAATATGCAGGAGCTTGTGAAGATATAAATATCAGAGAAAATGTTTTCCAACGTTTTTTTTAACAATTTTTGAACTCCAATTAAAATAATTACATCCCCATATACATGACATTCAAAGTGTGAACTTCAAATAATAAACTCAAATTATTTCTTTGCGATTTCTTTTTATTTTATTTTTAGGTAAAAAATGGCATACGCGGCGTCGTTTACTCACCCCAACTTTTCACTTCAACATTCTTCAAAAATTTATGGAAATTTTCAAGTAAGCCTATTTTTAGAAAATATTTCCTGACATATAAGTAGATTAAATAATTATTTTTAGATCTGAATCTAGAAAATTTATTGATGATTTATGGAAGCAAATAGATCTGGCCGATTTCAATGGCTCGGTATCGTTAAACGAATTAATACCACGTTTCACTTTAAACATTATATGTGGTAAGTTTTCAAATTGAAAAAATGCTCAAGTTGGACAAACCTCAAATATCATAAAATTTATTGCGGTTTGAATCATCGTGAAAAGTCCCCTGGTTACAAGGCATTTTTTCAAAAATTGAGACGAAACTTTTATATCGAACTAGCAAGAAACCGCTACTTTGTCTGTGAAAAATACAACTTAAAATTTTAGATTTGTTCCAATAGATCGTGTTTGTCCTTTTTAGTACTCAAAATGCGCAATTTGTTGAGTTTGATAACATTTATTACCCACATCCAATTTTTCTGTCCAAAACTATTTAAACGTCTCCATATGTAAAACCTAGAAACCAACTGTGACCTCGATTCGAATATCAGCTTGTTAAATTCTCCCATTAGTAAATGTAGTACAATTTAGTACAATTAGAGTACGTATATCCAAAACCAGATACCAAACCTCTCAACCACAGATACCAAAAGTGACATCCATATCAAATTTCAGGATTCTATCTTTATTCCTTCACATAATAACAAATATAGTACCATTTAGTACTTTGTACACAATTTTAGACATTATTAAATTTCGCGATTCCACCTCTATCCCCTTACCAAATACCCATTTTTTAGTACATTTCTCGAACAATTATAGTACGCATATCCAAAAGCAGCTTCTTCTCTCAACCACAGACACCAACATTAACACCCATATTACATTTTGGAGAAGCTCTATTCCTTCACCAAATAACAAATTTAGTACTATTTAGTACATTTCGTTCAATTATAGTACACATTTCCAAAAGCATCTCCAAATTTCAATTCCAGATACCAACAGAGACCTCAATATCGAATTTCGAGATTCCAGTTCTATCCCTTCACCCAATGTCAAGTTAAGTACTATTTAGTACTTTTCTTACAATTATAGTACACATTTCCAAAACCACTTCTATATGTCCAGACTACACATAAAAATCGACCCTAATTCCAAATCTCAGATTTCAAGCACTATCTGTTTACCCAATGCCAAATTGTACCAAATTTTGTACTATTTACTACTTTTCGTGCACTTGTAGTACACATTTTCAAAACCACCTCTTTACCACAAATCTACCACCAACATGGACTCCAATACAAAATTTGAAAATTCCAGCTTTATCGGTTTTTACCTCTCTCGGTTCAAGTAATACCAAATGGTACTATTTTAGAACTTTTCGTAACCTAAAATTTCCAAAAACGCTTTTGGTACATCTATTCTCCTTCAGTGACTCTCTTTTCAAGTTTCAGAATTCCAGCTCAGTCCGTTTGTCCAGGACATAATATTTTAATTAATTTTTTTACATATATCATTTTTAGTATTCTTCATACCCTTTTAGTACGAATTTCCGTAAACCAAGACTGACCCTCGTGTAAAATTCCAATATTCTAGATTCAGCTGTTTCGTCTGAGCCTTGATTATCAGTCAGTCAGTTATTTCATTACTCTTTCGGATATATAGATTGCAGAATTCCAGCTAAACATTTTTACACAGTACCAATAGTACCATATTTGGTACCTTCCATGGCTTAATTAATTAATTAATTAACCCGGTAAAAATTCTAACGTAAACATGACATTACTTCGGTTTTTCATGTCTTACTAAGTTCAATTAAATATCAAATCAAATAATCATTGTTTTAGAAACAGCTATGGGTGTTCGTCTTGACGACTGTGCCGATGGTGATGAATATCGTAAATATTATTCCAGAATTGAGGATATTTTAATTGAACGTCTTAAGAATCCGATAATGTCCTTCGATTGGATATTTTTCAAATTTCAAAATGGTAAAAATTATTTGAAATCGTTAAAGAAACTGCACTCTTTCTCCAGTGGGATAATTAAAAAAAGGCGCGAAATGCTGGAAGAGGAATTACAACAACAGGAATTTGAGTTGATCGAAAGGATTGATCAGGATGACAATAAGTATGTCATAATTACCTTTAGTAACCAATTAATATAAATGACTCATATTTCCCAGTGCCTATGGCAAACAACGTTATGCCATGTTGGATAGCCTTTTGTTTGCCGAGAAGGAAGGTCTCATCGATCACCGGGGAATTTGCGAAGAAGTTGATACATTTATCTTGGCCGGTTATGATACAATTTCAATGAATTTAATATATGCTCTACGATGTCTAGCCATGTATCCCGATGTTCAAGCAAAATGTTATGAAGAACTACAAGAATGTATTCCCGAAGATCTCAGTGGATTGAATATGAAACAATTGAACAATCTTAAGTATTTAGATTGTGTTATAAGGGAAACTTTACGGTTATATCCTTCGGTGCCAACAGTGAAAAGAGAATGCATAGCAGATACTGTAGTTGGTGGTAATCTCTTCCTACCGAAAAGGACTCAAATAAACCTTCACATTTATGATATTCACAGAAATCCCAAATATTTCCCAGATCCGGAAGTTTTTAGACCAGAGAGATTTATGTCGTCGGAAAAGAGGCATCCGTATGCATTTATACCCTTTAGTGTGGGACAAAGGAATTGTATTGGTAAGAGCATATTCAGAGGTTTAAAACTTTTTGCAATCAAGATTTATTTTTTAGGACAAAAATTTGCCATCTTGGAAATTAAAACATTGTTAATACACATTTTACAGAATTTCCAATTGCAGTCAGTTTCTGATTGTGAGGAGTTGAAATTCTCAACAGGATTATTGCTGCGCACAAATACAAATGTAAAAATAAAATTAAATAAAAGAAATTAAAGTTGAATGTATACATGTAAACGTAGCATAGTTTCTTTAATTTGAAGATTGTGTTATTATTTGATTAATAAAAGAAAAAGTATGTTTTGATCCAGCAATTGAAACGATTTACCTGTTTTCTATTTAAATAATAAATGTCTTAATTTCTATCTAATTTCAAATGAAATGTACTTTTTCTTAGGAAGACTTGTAAAAGGCAAAACGACCATTCATATTAGACATATCATTATTATAATTAGGACTGTTCATGGTAGAAGAATACAGGTAGATGCATCAATGCTTGAGAACATATATATGTCAAAAAATGTAAATGTTCTTTCAAATATAAGAAGATTTTTACACGTTTTCTTATACGACGTCAGTCGGAGGTTATTATAATTCGCGTTTTTCAAAAAATTTTTAAAAAATTAAATAAATTTTCATTCAACATTTCCAATTCCAAAATTAGTTTGACAGTTCATAGTCCCAGCAGATGTGTCGATACGTCCACCTATATTCTTCTACATGGGACTGTTCGTCGATAATTTGTAGAAAGTTTTACTTTAAGCTGTCCAAAAGTCCAGTTACGGAGAGCGAAATGAGAAAGACATTTTGACATTTGAGTTACTGAGAGTTTGCAAATTCTTAAAGGGAAATTGTCCCTAGTACGAATAATAGGTGTTTCTGGTTACTTTTCCTGCAGGAATTGTCCAGCAACATCTTTCTGAGAGAGTAAGGTACTTTTATTCTCTTTTGCAAGGAAATTGCGAAAAGTAAACAGACGGTATTCCTGCAGAAGCTTGTAACTAATCAGATGATTTGTCAAAACAAACCAATCTGTCCCCCATTAAAAGAATTAAACGAAAGGAACCATCACCAATTTCACAAGTTTTATAAACAAAAAGGAAATTGACAATAAAATAAAAATATGAACAATATAAGGAAGCTAGATTTGATGTATTCCGCGGAATCCTTTAAATCTGTTGCTAATGGCATTTGTCTAAAATGTTGTTATTTTCTTTTTACATATTAATATTTATGTTTTTCACATTTTGTAAAGTTGTTCTTCAAAAACAATTAGTCTTGCTAATTCCAAGACAATATTTTTAAATTAAAATCACAAAAAGAAATAAATAAACAATAGAAAACATCTGATTGAATGTCGATTAATAAGAAGAAGAAGAGTTGCAAGAGATTGCAAGAAGAAATTTGTCCAGCAAGAATTTGCAAACTCTCACTGAAAGAACTGTCAAAATGTCTCTCTCCAACCGCTCTCTTTTGCAGAACTTTCGGGTTAACAGACGACTTCCAGTAACAAATTGTAACAATTGTTACAAATTTTAGGGTAACCAGACACACCTAATATAGTAGCGTCAGCTGTTCAATAAACAGCTGTTTGGTAGACAAACAAACAAACAAATTTAACCAATCTTTTCTTTGCGGAAAAAATTATTAACAACAATGGATAAGGAAAACGAAAGAAAATATCATGGTAGAAGAATACATGGGAGCATTAATATGTCAACAATTTTTAAATGTTTTGTCAAAAAAAAAGTAGATTTTTACATATTTTCTTATAAGACGCCAATCGGAGGTTGTTATATGTATTTTTGAACAATTTTTACAAAATTTAATAATTTTTCATTCAAAATTTTCAATTCCAAAAGTGGTTTGACAGCTCATTGAATAAAAATCTGTTAAAATCTTAAAAATACCGAATGTAGCCATTATATACGTCAACGTGGACCTGCATAGGCAACTTTTGTCAAAAGCCATTACAATATTCAAATGCGAAACTTGAAAAAAATCGGTGAATAATGTAGCTAAAATCAAACTTCAAATCAATTTCAAACTATTTCGGTGAACATTGCACCTCAAATCATCAAAATATCGAATATAGGGAGGTACTATATACTATATGGCTATACCAAAAGGTGGACCTGCACAGACAATTTTCTGTCAAAGGCTATAGTATTCATTACGAACATCAAATACCAAATTTGAAACAATTCCGGTAAATAATGTCGATAAATTTATCAAAATACCGAATATGGGGCTATACGAAGACGTATATATACCAAATATCAGGAGGTATCGTTATGTGGGGGTTATACGAAAACGTGGACCTGCACCAACAATTTTTTATCTTCGGCTGTACTATCCATTATGAACTTCAGATACCAAATTTGAAACAATTCCCGTGGGAAGTACCGTTATATGGGGGTTATACGAAGGTGTGGACCTGCACGGACAATTCTCCGTCATGTCATCATTACGAACTTCAAATACCAAGTTTGAAACATTTCCGGTGAATAATGTCGCTTAAATCATCAAAATACCGAAAATAGGGAGGTACAATTATATGGGGGCTATACCAAAACGTGGCCCATTTTCAATACCATAAGTGCTGCAGACATAATATACATTTAAATAAAATTTATCAACATACTTCATTTTGTTCAGAAGACAGACGGACGGACGGATATCACTAAATCGACATAGAATTTAATGCTGATCAAGAATATATATATATATATATATATATATATATATATATATATATATATATATATATATATATATATATATATATATATATATATATATATATATATATATATATATATATATATATATATATATATATATATATATATATAATATATATATATATATATATATATATATAATATATAATATATATATATATATATATATATATATATATATATATATATATATATATATATAAATAAATATATATATATATATATATATATATATATATATATACTTTGTGGGGTCTAAAATATACATTTAGAGGTTTTATAAACGAAATGAAAAACTTAACATACCCTCCATACTATGGTGGAGGGTATAAAAAAAAATTTATAGAAAATAATGATAAATAAAAGTTTGAGTCATCCAAAAAAAAAAAATAGTTTCAAATTATATTCCATAGACTTTTCCAATTCATTGCATATTGCCTTAGCGGTTAAAATCACTTAACATTGGTATCTATGTTGTTACGATATCGGAACAACACCTGGTGACAATATTTTAACTCAGTCTTGCCCCATCTTTATACTTCTATCTCTTTGTTGTAGGGAACTTACAGATTGTACAAAAAATGTTTTGAAAAATGCCATTGAAATTTGAAATTTCAGGTGTTACAGTTATGTGGGAGGCGATACGAAAAGGTACATCTCCACAACCAATTATCTACGAAAGAAGGTAGTGCGTACTACGAACTTTAAATACCAAGTTTGAGGTAATCTGTTGAAAATTTAAGCTAAAATCCTCAAAGAATGGAATATAGGAAGGTACCGTTATATAGGGGATATACGATTAAGTGCAGTAGTACAGCAATTCTGTGTCATGTGAATTAGTACCCAATGTGAACTCCAATTTCCAAAATTGAAGTAACTTCAATGAAAAGTGGGGCCTTACATCATGAAAAGACCAAATATATAGGGAGGTACCATTATATGTGGTATATACTTAAATATGTAATTTTTGTCATATAGAAGGTAGTATCAATTGCGAACCCCTAATACTAAATTTGAAACAATTCCGCTAAAAATACCGAATATTTGGATGTGCAGTTTTATGGGGACAATACCAAAATTTACAGCAAATTCGGTTTTAAAATATGATATATTTCTTGTTCTATCTTAATACTTCTATATCTTTGTTTGTTCTTTTATGAAGAAACCAGCCGATGACTTAAGCCGGTCAAAAAAATGTTTTATGTATTCTCACCTTAAAATGAACACTTCGAGGTGGTACAAACGGAATGACAAACCTAATATACCTACCATACTATGATGGAGGGTATAAAAAGTACAGGGACACAACAAATACCTTTAAGTCACATTTGGTAAAGGTTAATATACTCACTTGGTCTGAGGATATTTATTTGTTCGCATTGCTTGCGATATTCTCTTACTTGTTTTGTTTGTTTATAATCTATTTTGCTTCATCTTCAAATAATAATATGTGTATCATACAAAAATATGTGTATCTAATAATAATGTTAACGTGTGTACAAATGTGTATATTTCATTATGTGGAATGGGTTTGCTGGACTTTTTAATATTCAATATGTACTCGTAGCTATAATTATTTATTTGAAAAGCTTGTGTGACATTCTCCGCTAATACACACATGTTGCTCATATAAAGAGAATAGAGTAACAACACACAAACCCAATTCTACACAAAATAACAACAACAACTACAGTTTTGGTTCACCTACAGTGGAGGAAACATTTTCATAATACTAAATACAAATCATACCTGCATATAATTATAATATTAATTGCAAAAAAAGTAATACCAGGTTTAGTTTTGGGTTTCAATATATTTCCATATTTTGTATTTATTAAGTACGTTTTTTTTGACCAGCAATTAAAATCAAATTATTAAAACAATCTTTTTTTTCTTCATCCAAATCCACTGTTGCAAAACAATGAGAGAGAGAGAGAGAGATAAGAGCAAAACCGAGAGAGTGAACGCCATAAAGACAAAATAAATTTTATTGCTTTACAAAAAAATAATCAGTTTAAGTAAACAGAGCAAAATTGTATCACTCGTTCACTCGTTGTTTAGTTATCAATGAAAAGCTGTTGCACATCAAACAACAGCAAATTGAGGCTCCGCACGACACTCTGTTAGACAAAATGCTAATACAAATTCTAATAGCTATTTTCAGTGGAATTTTGGCATTTTCGCTATGGAAATTAAATCAAAATTATTCTTTGGCCTCTTTGACGCGCAAAATCACGACCATCGATGGAACACCGGTTGAAAGTAAAGCGGCCGTTGTTGGTGGATTTTGGGGTAGCAACTTTGATTTCTTATCAATGAATTTGGGTAAGTCGTGGGAGGAGGTAGGGTGGGTGATAGCTGAGTGTTTTGTTTTTTGTATTGTGTGAAATGAACTTACCCCTTTGGTCTTTGCAGAAGAATTTTTCGACTACTCGCGTATATTTGCGGAAAATCTCAAACGTAATTACATCCAATATTTCATACTAACGCCAGTATACAATATCATTGATGCGGAGACCGCTGAACTAGTTTTGAATGATTCACGTCTGCTGTCAAAGGGTGTTGTTTATGAGTTTTTGCATCCATTTTTGAAAACTGGACTTTTAACAAGTACAGGTAAGTTTGGAATCTGATGAATTGACAAATTCTACAGCAGACCACATTGTTTATAAATGATTAAAACAATGAATTATAATGTTAAAGTATTTGTGTATTGTGATTATGAAAGAGAAGATCCAAAGGCAGACGGGATTGAGCATATAGTACGCTGCACTACTATTTAGAAGGGATGCTTCCAATATTAAATTTAAAGGTCACTGGACGCCAAAAATTGGTATAAAGCATTCCAATCGAAGACTACCTTGTGTGGAGAATATGGGCAACAGTGCATTTTCCCAGTACTGGACAAAAATGAGTCAAAAAACAAGTAAAAAAGCTGAAAGTTCGGCCGGGCCGAACTTTGAATACCCTCACCATTTGGAACGAATTTGGTATTTTTCAAAAAATAAAATCCGTTAAAAATTCTGTTAATTTTTAAGCCATTACAATATTCAAATGCGAAACTTAAAAAAAATCGGTGAATAATGTAGTTAAAATCATCAATATAGGGAGGTACTATTACATGGGGGCTAAACCAAAATGTGGACCTGCACAGACAATTTTCTGCCTTAGGCTGCAGTATCCATTACGAACTTCAAATATCAAATTTGAAACAATTCCGATGAATAATGTCGATAAAATCATCAAAATACCGAATATAGGAAGGTACCGTTATATGGGGGTTATACGAAGACGTGGACCTGCACGATAATTTTCTGCCTTAGGCTGCAGTATCTATTATGAACTTCAAATACCAAATTTGAAACAATTCCGGTGAATAATGTCGCTAAATCGGATACCAATCCGTTGAACTATTTTGTTCGGAGCATTTTGGAAAGAAAGGTTGGTACTAAAAATTACCAAAGTGTCGATCACCTCAAGCAAGCGCTTCGCCGGGAATGGGCCAAAATACCGCAGAGCAACATTCGGGCAGCGTGTGACGATATCATTGGCCTTTTAGTTGGCCCATAATTCGTGCAATTCGAACAAATCTAAACTTTTACTAAAATTTGATGCTATTCCCGACATTTTTTGCTTTCATTCAATAAAATTTAAAAATTATGGTGTTTTACTTTGTTGCAGTTTTTTTTATCCTACCCTGTATATATACTAACTAGCCTTAAGAGTGTATTAAATATTAAATTTGTTTATTTAAAAAAAATCGTGCAGGCTTTCTCAGAAAAGACCTAGAAAAAGTTTTTATAAAAAATCTTCGACTTCTCATAGGAAGTCCTTGAAAACGTATGTAAGGAAATTTTAAAATATTCCCTAAAAAATTCAGATCTGAAAGTTCTCAAATTTTTTCTCTTTAAAAAGTCCACAAATATTTCTGTGCCACCTTTTAGAATAATAATATATTTGTATTATAATTATAAATAAATAATTTCAATTATTATACTACATAAATTTATATATATTACAGATAAAAAATGGTATACCCGCCGACGTCTATTGACACCGACATTTCACTTCAATATTTTGCAACATTTTATGGACACCTTTAAGTGAGTAATAGTTTTTTATATTAAATTTCGGATATTAATAATATATCTAATCGATTTCTTTTTTTAGGCATGAATCGATGTGTTTTGTGGAAAATCTGAAAACATTGTTAGAATCTGATGTTTCAAATGGTGAAGTGTCCTTAAGTGATGTTATTCCACGATTTACACTCAACAATATATGCGGTAAGGACAATAATGCATAAATACACGTCATGAAAATGGGATTTTAAAATGCTAGTATTGCCTTGAAGACTAAATATTTGTTTAAGACCTAATTCACACGTGTACAGTTTACCGGCAAGAAAATGGGTTGTCAGAGAGAAAGAGAGAGAGAGAGAGAGCTAAATCATTGTTATTTACTTCTCTTCTTTCCCATAATACTCACTGCAAATTTTGTACATCGGCCTTAAATGCCGTACACTCATAACAAAAAATCATCATCATCATGAGTGAGAAATGATTCAAAAACTTCCTTTCAACTTTTTTTTGTATTTTTTTTAAATACTGTATTTATATGTGGACATATTTCTAACTTGTAAAAATTGTTTTAATTTTATTTAGAAACTGCATTGGGTGTGCGTCTTGACGAACGTTTAGATGGCGATGAATATCGTAAACACATTACCATGGTTGAGGAGATGCTTTTGGAACGCCTGAAAAATCCCCTCAATGTTTTCCAGTTCATTTACAATAACTTCAGTGAGGGTAAGACCTATTTAAAGGCTATGGAAAAGTTGCATGCATTTTCCAGTGGTATTATTGAAAAGCGAAGAGAGCTGCTGGGCGATGAAGTACTTAAGAAGGGCGATAGTGGAGAAAAGGATTCGGAGGCTAAGTACATTTGGGTTTCTCATAATAAATTCTAAAATTTACTAATTAAATTTAAATTTCTATAGCATTTATCGCAAACAACGTTATGCCATGTTGGACAGTTTATTGCGCGCCGAAAAAGATGGCCTCATCGATCATGCTGGCATTTGTGAGGAGGTCGATACATTTATGTTTGAAGGCTTTGACACAACATCAATGCATTTGATATTTGTTCTAATGAATCTTGCCCTCTATCCAGAAATGCAACAAAAATGCTGTGATGAAATTAATGAATATATCAGTGGTGATTTATCGTCATTGGATATGTCGGAATGAAGTAATCTCAAATATTTGGATTGTTTTATAAAAGAAACCCAACGGCTGTATCCTTCGGTGCCGATTATAATACGTGAAGCAACATCGGATATTGTATTCGGTGATATGTTTAATTTTCCCAAAAACACACAAATAAATATTCATATTTACGACATACATCGTAATCCCAGGCATTATAAGGATCCGGAGGTTTTTAGACCAGAAAGATTTGTCGGTGCCGAAAGCGAACAGAGGCATCCGCTTGCATTTATACCATTTAGTGCGGGACAAAGGAATTGTATTGGTAAACAAAAGAATATTTTTATAAATATTTTGCATAGTTTTGTTAATAATTACATGTTTAATTAATTTTTAGGTCAGAAATTTGCCTTGCTAGAGATTAAAACACTGCTGGTCCACATCCTCAAACATTTTCGTTTGGAACCAGTCACAACACCCGACTCATTTCGTTTCTCGGCTGGTATTTTATTACGTACATCCGATAAAATTAAAATCAAAATAGCAAAGAGAGATTAATGAAACCAAAAAGAAAACAAATAAATAATTTATTGAAAACAAAATAACAATAACATTAAATTGCAATTGTCTTTTTTGGGATATGATGCTTTGCACAAGTCTAACTCTATCACAAGCTTTGAAAACGTAGAAAAAACTATTGGAATCATGTTAACAAGTCAGATTTTCTATCCCGAGAATATGATTCCTGATTCTTACAAAATATCAAAGATAGACATTCTCGATTCTAACCTCGATACACCTTTATAAAACATTCGTTTAAATAACCTGTGAACCATATCCGTCAGCCATGACCTATAAATACCATTGTACAATTTGTAACACTTGTAATAGTATTTACTCTTTTAATTAGTTCCAAATTTTTAATAATTATCAAAAAAAGATAAACTTGAAGGAGGCTATATAAAAGTGTATTTTTTCGCGTTAGAACGTTGCATTCTTAAGTGCGACGTTAGATAACCCTTATCTAATTTAGATACTTCGTAATTTCCCTTAACTTCCCTTAACCGTCAACCAAATTTTTGTTCTTAATAAAGAAATTGGGACCAGTAACAAGAGTCAAATTTTGATTTTGCTTAAGATCCATGTGTCTTCACTCTATTTAGTTAGAAACATTAATTTTTGTAAAAGAGATTCAATCTATTCTCTTGTCTAAGTATTTTTAATAACAAAACAACAAATTGATTGATATTTGATATCATCGGAATAGATAACAACAATAACAAAAAATTATCTGGAGAATATTAGTTGTGTTTTTTTTTTTTTTTTGTCGAGACAAAATATGTGTATATATTAAAAGACTTTCAGATCTATAAACCTTGATTTTTATACCCTACACTACATAGCGAGATAAACCCATAGTTACTTTTGAGGATCTATGCTTGTCAGTCCGTCTGTCCATGTATTTTTGTTAAAAAAATGCTGGTCGCATTTATTGTCCGATTGAGATGAAATTTTACAAACAATATTTGTTTGGTCCAAGGACGAACACTATTGAAATTGGTGAGAGTAAAAATTGGGGAAAATCGGTTCAGATGTAGCTATAGCTCCCATATATATGTTTCATCCGATTTGGTGTTTTAAGACCCTCACATGCGTAGTATATACTTCACAACAAAGATATTTGATACTGGGCAGCAAATACTGCTCAAAAATACCTCTGCCAAATTTTATCGAGATCGGTTCAGATTTTTGTATAGCTTTGATATACATCTTCATCCGATTTTACGGTTATTAATTAATTAATTTTACGTTTTTAATTAAAATTGTTTAAGGAATACCAAGAAATCCACTATTATTATTTACAAGTATTTTAAAATTATTTTTGACAACTATTCCAAAGAAAGCCCTATTGCACTACTTCCAACAGGTGTTATTTAGTTATCAGTATCAACAAATCAAATGCTAATGTATTCAGAACTAAAACCCACCAAATGTGCGATAAAGCTCCAACAACAATTCATATTATATTCGCCCAAAATATAAACTAGCTACTATTTAGACTCATTATTTTCCCATCACAAATCAGTTGTGAACAACTCGTCTACACTGAACCTTAAGTTAAGCGTGAAGATTTCAAGATTTCGCCAGAATGTTTCTATGGACTTTGGCTGTTGGCTTAATTTGTATTTTATATATATTTCGTTTGAAAAAAGATTTTAAAATATTGGCATTTTTTGCACCAAAACTTCGGACGGCGGATGGTTCACCGGTTGAAAATTTAGTACCCGCATTACCGGGTAAAACAATATTTGGAAATACATTTGATACGGCTGGATTGGATTTTGGTAAGCTACAGTATGTTTGTTGTTATCTAATAAAAAAAAGAGAATCATTATACCTACGAAGTATGTTAGAAAAGTTTTAGGAGAAGTGGCATCACATGAAGTGTTTAGTATTTATATATATTTTTTATATTCTTAATTTTATTTTCGTCACAGTTGAAACCTTCAAATATCTTCGCCGCAATGCCGCTCTGATGAAACGCAGTTATGCTCAATATGTTATGGGCAAAACGATTTTCAATGTTATCGATGCTGAATTTGCCGAAATGATTTTTACCAATACAAAACTGATAACCAAGGGATTTGTATACGGATTTCTGAAGCAGGCTTTTGGGTGAATGGCACACAAGACGTAAGATGTTGACGCCAGCTTTTCATTTTAATATTTTGGGACAATTTCAAGAGATTTTTATGTAGGTTCAATGGCATATTTACATTTTAAAAAATAATAAGAAACTGTTTTATATTTTCCAGTGAGGAAAGCCAAAAATTTGTTAAATTTATGGAGAATGCAGAAAGCGATGTCTTGTCCTTGGATAAAATAATACCCAAGTTCACATTGAACGTTGTATGTGGTGAGTAATTTATTTTTGCGAGCATTTCTAGTGATAACAAAATGAATTGATTAAATATAGACAGCCTGTGGCCGAGTGGTCAAATGTTTTGTCAATTTTAACTGGATTGACTAATTGTTACGAATTGGGATTGTCAATTATAGAGAGCCATTACCTAATTTCAATTAAAATTCGGTGTCCATTATTTTAAGACTAGGGTCCTTAAAAAATCCTTAAAAGTCTTGACGAAAATACTTTCAAAATGCTCTATTTCTTTGACATTCCATCAAAAATATTTCTAAAAATCCACCATTATTAATGTTCAACCTTTCAAGGTTTTATATATTATTCAAGTTTTTCCTTTTTTCGGAAGGAATAATAAGAAAATGTTTATCTTTTACACCAAAAAGTCTTCAAAATCTCTCATTTTGAAAGAGTAGGATATTAAAAAACCCATTGGACAATGGACCCATAATCAATTATATGTCTCCATACTTTTATGTCTCCATTTTTAACCAATATCAAATTACCAAAACATTCATTATTCATATCCAGAACAATCTACATTTTTTCTATCCTGAGCACCAACAGCGATCCAAAATTAGTACTATTTAGTACTTTTCAAACAAATATAGCACGAATTTGCAAAAACACTTTCAAATCTCCTATATCAAATTTATGGATTTCAGCTGTATTATCGCCCAGTACCAAATTTAGCACTATTTTGTACTTTTCGTACAATTATAGTACATATTTCCAAAAGCAACTCCTATCTTAATTTCAGATACCCACAGAGACATCATATTAAATTTGAGGACTCCAGCCCTATCCCATAATCCAATCCAAATTTAGTATAATTTAGTACTTTTCGTACAATTATTGAACACATTTCCAAAACCAACTTCATATTCCAATTCCAGAAGCCCACAGAAGACTCCAGTCCTATCCCATCATCCAATACCAAATTTAGTATCATTTAGTAGTTTTCAAACAATCATAGTAGGCATTTCCGAATCCTCCGTCATATCTTAACAAAAGGCACCAACAGTGACATCTATATCTAATTTCAGGATTTCAGCTCTATTTCTTAACCCAGTACCAACTTTAGTACCATTTAGTACTATTCGTACAAATATAGGAAGAATTTCTGAACTACCGCCAAAATCTCATACACAGATACCACCAGTAATCTAGATATCAAATTTTAAAAGAGAGTAGAAAATTATTTCGCAATAAGTTCCAGACTTTGCTGCATTCAATCTGCCATATATTCCATCCGATCAAAAATTCACTATTACCATCTTGATTATTTTTCAGAAACCGCTTTGGGTGTTAAACTGGATGAGTGTCTTAATGGTGATGAATATCGCCGGAGTTTCAGTGTTTTCGAAGAATGTTTCAATAGACGTGCCAATTATCCACATTTGATGATTGAATCGGTTTATAAAGCCATAGAAGAGTATAAATATTTACCAGCTCTAAAGATCGCCCATGATTTCTCCAGTGATATTATTAAAAAGAGAAGAGAAATTTTTGCCCAAGAGCTTGAGCAAGCTGAATCCCAGGCGGCACAAGATGAGCAAAGGTAGGTGACGCTTTATTAAGCCTCTAAATACCATTATTTTTAACTCCAATTATTTCCTCGTTTCAGTTTTCTCAAGAAACGTTATGCCATGTTAGACACCCTATTGCATGCCGAAAAAGACGGTCTCATCGATCATGCTGGCATTTGCGAAGAAGTTGATACCTTTATGTTTGAGGGATACGATACAACATCGATGAGTTTGATATTCTGTCTGATGAATCTATCGTTGCATCCGGAAATGCAAGAACGTTGCTACCAGGAAATAATGGACAATATCGATTGTAATTTAGAATCTCTGGATATTGGCGATTTGAATAAATTGAAATATTTAGAATGTTTTCTCAAGGAATCAATGCGCCTGTATCCCACGGTGCCAATTATAATGCGCGAAGCAGTCGAAGAAACTGAATTGCCAAATGGTTTAATCTTGCCCGCCAACTCGTTTATTACAATACATATTTTCGATTTGCATCGCAATCCAAAACATTTCAAAAATTCCGAAGAATTTGATCCGGAACGATTCTTACCTGAAAATTCTGTGGGACGTCATCCGTATGCTTTTTCCCCATTTAGTGCTGGCCAAAGGAATTGTATTGGTAAGTCGTTTATTTTTGTTGGGGAGTTCATTCCAATTTATCAATTGTTTTTTTTTTTCTTTAGGTCAAAAATTTGCCATGCATGAAATGAAAACATTGCTGGTCCATGTCATTAAGAACTTTAAACTGTTACCCATGGTGGATCCAAGCAAATTTGAATTTAAATCTGGTATTATTATTAGAACTAAGAATGAGGTTAAGGTGAAATTTGTTAAGAGACAATAAAAAAATTATTACAATTTTTTTAAAATAAACTTCGAACAATTTGTTTTGCGTCAGGTACAGTAGAAAAACAAGTAAAAAACATTAAGTTCGGCCGGGCCGAATTTTTAATACCCTCCACCTTACCCGAAGGAATCATTTTTATATAAAAGTATCAGAATTAAAGCGTGCTACACTTTAAACTACAAATTCCAGTAAGACCTTTTACATAATGCAGTTAAACATAAAGTGGGTGAGGCCGTTATATGGGGTCATACCAAAACGGGAACCTCTCAAATCAAATCTCCTAAATTACCAAAATTGAAACAATTTCATGGGCAAAGGTGACTAGGAATATCAAAATAACGAATATCGGTGGGTATCGCTTTATGTGCGCTATAGGAAAACATGGACCTAAATTTTCAATACTTCGCCACTGGAGCTAGAACCCGTTATGACCCACAAATACCAATTTTAAGACAAATCCGTGAAAAAATGTGGCAAAAGTCAACAAAATACTGGATATTGAGAGGTACCGTTATGTGGGGGCTATACCAAAACGTGGACTTATACATACAATGTTTTGCCACACAAGCTAGAACCTATTATAACCTACATATACCGATTTTTAGACAAATCCGTGAAAAAATGTGGCAAAATCTTTAAAATACCGAATATCAGGAGGTACCGTTATATGGGGACTATACCAAAACGTGGACCGATATGTCTCATTTTCAATACCAACCATCCTAGGCACAACACAAATTGTTCTGCTAAATTTTGACCCTCTACGTCAAATAATGTGGGCTGTATCGTGATTTCAATAGACAGACAGACATTCGGACTGAAAGACGGACATCGTTAAATCGACTTAAAATTTTATACTGATTATGAATACATATACTTTATGGGGTCTACGATGAATATTAAGGAATGTTACAAACGGAATGAAAAAGTTAATATACCCTCCTTTCCAAGGCGGAGCGTATAATAACAAGTAGAAACAAGGATAAGTTTGACTGAGAAGGCGCTTAAGAAGTGTTACCAGCATCTTTGAACTTATAAAATAGAAAGTATCATCTATTTATTTTAAAGCTAGATTACAAACATATCATATATCTTTACATTACACCTTTAGGCGCTCCCCAAACTAAACCAGTAAAAAAGCAGCTAAGTTCCTGTCCGAACTTTTTATACCCTCCACCATTCGAAGGGACCAGGAAAAATTAAAAAAAAGATCCATCGAAAAATACAGCTCAAATGAAAACCATTGACATTGACCCTAGCGTGATTACAACTGACAGATGTACAGGGCTAAATTGTTTCCATTGGGAAACATAATAAGCCTTACTCCCCACAAAGACTACATCTCTGTATTTGGTTAACGACTTAAAACGGTAAAAATGCATTTTGCTGAAGCAACTACAATTAGAAGTAGCCTGTCTATGTTCTTCATCAACCAAGTGCTAATTGGTTGGTCAAAACACACATTCGACAGAACATATTTAACTCTTTTGTGGTCAGTTAAAGACTAAAAGCATTTGGAGAAAACAATTTAGTTGCAATTAACCACTCAACATGTTCAAAGGTAGTATTTGCAAACAATTTATATTGCTTGCATATTTATTTGTCATGCTTTGGGTTACGGGAGATTTCAGATTGATGAGGCAGAAACGTTTTCTAATATTTCCTCGGCAGGCACCCACAAGACATCAGGTATGTGGCTCATTAAGAATTACTTTCGCATCTAATGTTTTTTTTTTTTTTTTTGTAAAGTTCATTGGTGGTATAGGTATACCCGCTGATTTGGCCTATGAATCCCTGACAATTGGCTACGTTCTGAAAGCTATGTATTGGCTACCGTTTAATGAAACACATTTTCGTGAAAATCCCTATTTTCCAGAGTATAAGGATGGTTTCTACAATTTAAATACCAGTGCATTTTTATCACATCGAAGTCGGCGTTCTACTTTGCGTTGGGATATTTATGATATTTTAAGTGATCGTTTAGATAGGTATATGTTTTTTTTTTTTTAAATTCGAAGTTGTATACAAATACATATCTTGTCCATTATTCCCAGCTATGGATACCGAGGTCAAGAGTGTGTAATGATGGCAATATGTGAAGCAAATGCCTTGACTTTTGTAAGGCACTATGATGTCTTTGGCGAATTGATGCATATACTCTTCAGGTAGTTAACATACATTGCAGTTATTCATATTTAAAAATAATGAATTGTTTATCTAAATGTTTATATTCATATTCCCATTGTAGTCCATCTACATCTCATGATTTGGAAGCCGATTTAAGCCAAAATTATAGGGAGGCAGAAAAAGTTGGATCTTCAAGTGGTGATTGTACAATATACGATTGCAATTTTTCAATAATGGAATTAATTTCGAAAACTTTCAAAATAAATTGAAATATTTGTATTACTTTAAATAACGAACTTATTTGTTTATTTAATCCTGTCTAAGTACAGTAGCAAAAAACGATCATTTTAGGTCCACACCACTTTTGTTTCAATTTTTCTGCAAGAAAAACGAGTCACAAAATGGTCCAGTATTCCTTTAAATGTTCAGCAGTTTATTATATTTTTTTATTTGAAGTAGAAATTACATACGTACGTATAGTGTGTTTTCAACTTTTGTTTCAAGTAGCGTTATTGCTTCAATATTATATGAATACTATTTATAAAATATATACGATATTTCATTGGAATACAATTTGATTAGATGTGAGTTTGTTTTTTTACTCTCAAAAAGGACAAAACTAAAATAAATTAACATAAAATGTGAGCACAAAAAAGTGTTACTCAATCTTAAACGAAATATTAAATTCAAATACCACCTGGTTAAAAATGATAATGATTATAAAAAATAAAATCAATTGATTTTCTTAAGTTAAATCTTAATGTAAGAACTTTTACAAAGCTGCCGTGGTATCCTAAACAGAAACTGAACTTAAATTACGCGTTAAAAAAAAGGTATGTAAACTTTAATGAGTTTCAATATTCCATTTGTTTGTTGCCTTGAGTTGTTGTACACCTGAATATCATTTAATTGGTATTTTCTGCTGGTTCGGTTTTGTGGAATTCTTCCAAGCATAACTTACAACTCCACGAGCCTTCGGGAGGTGTTACCAGTGGTGGTGACAGGCAATACATGTGATAGCCACGATCACAATCATCGCAGAACAGCAGCTGATCATCATTGTCGGAAGTACCACAAATCGAACAATATTTGCATTCAATACATTGCCAACGATAGCGTTTGACCGAAATTATCATATTGGGTGTGAATTGTAAACATGATGGATGTCCCGAACGACCACAATCGGAGCATGAAACCAATTCTTCGGGTAGGTTAGTCTTTTTGTTCTCACGTTGATCGCCCAAACAGAAATCGCAATATGGTGATGGCTGAGCCACTTCACGATAATTTGAACGTCCTTTTGGTTTGCCAGCGGCTTTACTGGGGCTAGCAGTTGTAGCGCTAACGCCAGCTGTTACTGGTACTGTAGCTGTTGCAGCTGTTGTTGGAACAGAAGCAGCCGTTGCACCTGCTGTAGTTACTGGTGGTACTGAAGGTGCTGCACTAGATGAATTACTGTCGGTTGGTAAGCCCATTGAGGCGTCGGTTGCATTCGACGAAGAGTTGTCCATTGTTGGTGGAACTATTGGAGCTGTCACTGGGGCATTCATATTAACGCTGGAAGGCAATGTGAGGCCGGGTTGCGAGGAATCATCGGTATTTGTGATGGGTGATGCAGAATTGGAATGACTTATAGTTGTGGGAGCTACATTGGGTGCAACAGCAGCTGCCACTGCTGCAGATGAGGTATTCGAACCACCACCGCCACGACGACGTCGTGGGGGATCTTCGCCATCAGGATTAGCTCCACCGCGTCGACGAGTGCCTGAAAGGAATAACAACAAAAATTAATTTGATTGCATTGCTTTTTTTAAGCGAAACTAATAATCATTCATATTTTCTTAATTTCAAAATAAAAACAGCAAAGATAACATGTCGAAAAGTTTTCTTTTTCATATTTTAAATTCATACGGTCATATTACTCACCGCCTCCCTTGCGTCCACGCTTTGGAGTTCCATCCGATGCAGCGTTTGATCTACGCCATCTCGTACCGCCACCGCCAGCGGTACCACGTTTACGTTTGCCCCTCGCACTGTAGGATTCATCAAAGTCATTATCTGATTCAAAATCATCTTCAAAATCTTCATGGTGATGATATGACATTTCCATGTCATCATGGAACCATTCTTTTTCAGCATTAGCATGGGAATCTTTGCTGTCATTGTCACCTGAGGCACTCATAGAATTGCCATCGGCTGTTAAAGCTGAAAAATATCAAGAAATCTTTTAAATAAAGCATCTATATATGTTAAAAACATTTAACGTTCTGAAGGTTTAAAAATTGGGTAATTCTAATAGAAACAATTAAAATCCTTGATTACATAGGGCTAATTCTGGAGTAAATTTGGCATGACTTTCTTAATAATATTTTTTACAAAAATAGTATTCAGTTGTTATATTGAAAACTCAAATTCTGAAAATACTGATTCATTCGCTGGACTAACCTAAATAAACCTTACACTGTCCTCCTTGTTTACATTAACATCATTGCTATATGTAAATGTGATATTTTCATTACATCCCACCATTATAATCAGCGCCATCAAAACAAATAAATAAAAGAAATGAAATAATATAAATACACGCACACACATATATATTTTCATACATGCCTGTGGTGGAGCAGCATACTTTTTTCTGCAATTTGCAAAAGATACAGATTTTTCTCTAAAGCAAATAAATTTCATTACGAATGAAGAATAAAAAAAGGATAGAGGGCAATTGCAAAAACAAAGTACTTTGAAATGAGACAAAGACACCAACGAAAACAACACTAATAATGCCATGAATTGCACAAGAAGTGGATATCTTGGTAGGGGTGGCAAAAAAGAAAAACACCACCCAACAAAACAATCGTACACATAACACAATGAAACAGGTCCAGAGTAGGGTTGTTAATGAGAACGAACATTATATACTTAATGAGTACAGCAAAGAAGATTTTGCTAGACTTATTGATTATTCCCAGATTTACCTGCATTTTCGTTTTGATGATGATCCCTGGAAGCACCCGACCCGCTGTTCGATGAGTAATGATGATGATTGTGATGCGTTTCCCGATACATATACGGACGATAGCTATGATGATGATTGTGCAAATATTGTCTTTTCGGTTTGCGCCATCTCGATGAAGGATATGTATAAATCTGACCTTCACGAAAACCAGGCATTCGCTGCTTCTGCTTAACAAATAGGGCACAATGTGTCTGGGCCACACCAGTCTGTGGATCGAGAAAAGGCATTCGCAAGCGTCTTTCGATGCATAATCGTGTATTATAGTTTTCACTGTTCTCCAAAATCTCCTTGTATGCGGAATCGTTGAGAAAGTTTTGGATTTTCTCAAAATTGCCTATATTAGCAATTTCAATTTCAGGCGCAGACATAATGCCCAAATACCCGTTGTTGTTGTCGACGTTCACTTTGTAAGGCCAACTAGTTGTTGTTGTGTGTAGGGTGAAAACACCAACAGCTTCCTTTTCTTTGTGGTTGTTGTAATGCACTTTATTCCCCTGACAATGGCTTGGTACAGAAAATTTCACAGAAAAGTTTGGTTTTTATTTATTATAAACAAGAATTTATGCTGCAAATTTGAAGCAATACAGATTGGAATCAAAGCACAAGATTTATTTAATGTAGACTTTGATTAATTTTCTTCGATTTAAACAAGTTTTCCTTCAATTGACGCTATAATTCGGAAGATGGCAATGTCAACGATGTTTTAACATGAGTTTTTATCGATTGTTATCGATAAAGAAGAGAAATGCCAAATAGATTTAATGAGACATGGGACATCATAAATTATTACAAATGCTCTGAAAGAATAAATATGAATAAAAAAAAAAAAAAACAGAAAATTAATAAAATTTTGGAGTCTCTTTTCAACATCAATTAATTGTTCTGTTCCATAATTTGCAAGGATCTGCTAGTTTAGCATAAAAATATCATATATGAGGGTTAACCCACTGGATTTGGATTTAAATTGTCATATCCATTACTTTTACTTCAAATAAATCCTCTCAAAGTAGGTTAACCCTACAAAAAGTTCTAACGTAAACATGGCATTATATTTGAAAAAAAAAAAACATTTACTATTTTTTGACATATTAATGCTCCCAAGCTTTGATGCATCTACCTGTATTCTTCTGCTATGGATAGAATCAAGCATTGTTCAATGAAGAGATGGTAGGCTAACTAACTGTTTGGCTTGTAATGTCAAAAAAAAAAACAAAGAAACCAAAAGACTTGTTGCATTTATTTTGAATAAATATTTGAAAACTGCCAAAAATATCTTTTCAAAATCATGTTCTATGTTGCGCTTCAAAAACTGTAGATTTTGTCGATGCATCCGTGGAAATAAGCATTTTGAAAACACCCGAATTTGAATATTTTCTGACCAATTCTTTTATTGAAAAGAAAACACGTACACAAACAGATAAAGTTGACATATTAAACCAAGATAATAAACAAAATTTAAATCATATGGTAGCATAGGCCTACCTTGATTTTATTGTACCAGGAAGTAAAGTCATGATATTATTTGTTTATTTGTTTTTAAATTATTAATTTGACAACATTTGACATTGTCAAAATTAGTATCTAGAAATCCATTGTACATACACAAATCAGAGATGGGAACATGTTTTTATGTAGTAAAATGTGACAAGGTAAATTACAGAAATTGCAGGGAAGGGGAATAATTTTTTTTTAAGAAGGTAATTAAATTTAAATTTCTTCCGAACTGAAAAAAACAATGTACTTTGACAGCAGAAAAAGAGAACTGCTGGACTTAGCATGTCACCTTGTAAATATACCTTGGCTTTAACCATGGTACCATAAGAAGGTAGAAAAGATTCGTAAAACTACCATTTTTTTTAACTGACAAAGAAACTAATACCATGTTTATGGTAGAACTTTTTGTAGGGTAATCTACTTTAAAAGGATTTATTTGAAGTATAAGTAATGGATATGGCAAATTTAATCTAAATCCAGTGGATTAACCCCTTTATATGAAAACGTATTGAAAAGTTTTATTTGTTTGTGATAATACGTTGCAATGTTCAGTATTTTGTTTTTAAATTCCCGATTTTCCCTTTACTATATATAAGAAAATTGCAAGACTAGTAGACTCGTGCAGGTTCTGGAACAGAGCAAATGGTGATTGGAAATTCAAAGAGAGATACAAATCACAATAGTGCAAAAACTACCAAGTTTATTGTCAAATTTTTGTCAACAGTAGTCTTCTTGGCTGACCTTATATAAACCTTGCATTTAACTAAATAGCGATTTTTTAACGGATTTATTAATTCCAGTGAATGTTTTATGAAAAGCATAAATGAGCTATAACAAAAGGTTGTCACATTGCCACGCCACTGAATTGCGGTCGTTTTTAGCGCTACTCATTTTCTTTTGTTTTCATTCTAATATTTATTGATTATTTTGCTTTGATGTTGTTTCTTCTTTCTGCGCCGTTGTGTTCGTATGCCAGCTTGGTAATCTTGTAATATAAACACTGACTGATTTTGTTGGCAGACAGACAAACATTTCTCAAATTTTGTATTTTAAAAACATGCCCGTATATCACGAAAGACAAACGCGACAATTGTGTGCTTTACATACTTTAAATAATTTATTTCAATGTAGGTATTGTTGTTAGAATGTTAAGGCTACATTGTCCTAATTTGGTTTTGTTTACAGCTCGCCAAGCATTTACCAAGGAGCAGTTGGATCAAATATGTACCCAACTAAATCCAAATGTATTTCTAAATCCACATCGTTCTATGCTTGGATTGGGAAACTATGATGTTAATGTTATCATGGCTGCATTGCAGTTGAACAACTGTGAGGCCTGCTGGTTCGATAAGCGAAAGTAAGTGGAATTTTGGAAAGGGCCTTAAAGAAAGAGAAAGTCTAGGTGGCATGTAGAGTTTGAATTTTTTGTTTATTTGTTGAAGGAGGAGACTGCGAATTCCTTAAAGTTATGACCACGAATTTTGTAAATGGCAACTAATCTTCACATTTTTTCTTCCAGAGACCCTTCATGCATTGACTTAAACGCAATTGTTGGTTTCATTCTCAACGTACCATCAGATTATAAATTTGGCTTTATAACACTGCCACTGCGTAAAAGACACTGGATTGCTGTACGTCAAATCGATGGCAAATTTTACAATTTAGACTCAAAATTACACACACCAGAATGCATAGGCAACGAACAGCAATTATTTGCCTTCTTAAAACAACAACTACAGTCAAATGATCGGGAGTTATTTGTTATTGTCGAATCAAGTGCCAATGAAAATGATCAACCCAAAAAATGGTTAAAGGAAACACCTACAAATGAAACAACCACAACGGCGGAGATGACCAAAAATAATACAAATTCAACGTTAAGGAATGGTCATGTTTCGTGAGTTAAGAATTTGGTTGGAGCAATGAGGACTTGTATATTATTCAAAGGTTGTAAGGGAGTTACAAATTTATTGATGAGCTAAGAAGAAAACGGAGAAGGAATAGTTAAAACAAAGAAAAGCAAAAAAGACTAGTCTGGGTAGTTTTTCAATGGAAAAACCAAAACCCACATGAATAAAACAAATACATACATACGTACACAATTTGTTAATATGAATTCTATTTTTTATTTGATTTCTTGTAAAAAATGCTTTACTGTAATCTCTTAATTATATATTAATTATTTTTATGAATGATGAGAACTGTCGACGAATATCAATAAAGATAAAACTGTTATTTAAAAGAGCTATTGATTTTATCCAACCACTAATAGATATGAAAGAATTTCATGGACTATAAAATCGCCAAAGCTTAAAGATTTGGAAATTACGTAGAGGGTAAGTATATAGTTTGAAGCTCTGAAAAAGAGTGCTTGGAAGAAAACAATTTCATGCCTTCAACAAATTAAATCTCTTAAAAAGGGACTGAGTGACAGTCTTTGGACACACATTTTCAAAGAGCCAATCATTCACTTAAGTTTCTTTTACGGATTTATTAAAAATCAGATGGAAATTCCAATCATTTCATAAAAGCACTATTTAAAGATTTCTTTTTAGTTCAAATTGACTAGCCGAATTTTTATATTTCTTTTGAAAACGCCCAACTCATGTGGATTCTTCCATTAGATATAAATAAAATAATTTTTTCTTTCAGTTTGTTAATCTTTATTTGTTGTAACCAAAAACAGGTATACAATTATGTATAAATTTGTAAATATTAAATATTCAAGTTAGAAAATTGTGCTTAATTGAAGTATAAGCATTTATACTTTATAAAAATACTTGTGATGGAATGTTGTAGATTATTTTTACATAAAAAAGATTTACATTCGAAATTGTAACATGCACGAGATTCAATAAACAATTGTTATAAATATACAATTACATTACGGAATACGACACAATTGAATAAGGCCACTATAGTTCTGAATAAAAAAATGTATATCGATTGCTCGATAAAAAGGTCGAGATTCGATTTATAAAAAGGATACAGATAGTCTAAAAATAAAATTGGACAGTCGTTAACTACATATAATTATAATATAAAACAACATTGTGGACGGATATGTTTTCGTAGATTTTTTTTTTTTTTGCAGAGTTAAGCTGCTCCAATTAAATATCTGTTTGTATGCCACCACCTACGACAGCTGGAGGAGCTGTTGGGGTACGATGACCAGGTTGAGGGCGTCTTGGACGGCTTGGTTGTGGATTATAATAATCTTGTATAGTAGGTTGTTGTTGCTGTTGCGGCTGCTGTTGTATTTGTGCTGGCACCTGTTGCGTATAGTAATCATCACCGCCACCATATTCACTTGCTGCCTCTCGAGTACTAATCTCATTCAAATGTTTATAGCGTTCACGACGTGCCTCCACCATATACAAGACACCAGCTGGCAACAAAAAGACTGCACCAACAACTCCCAAGGCGAATGACCAACCCATATCATTGTTTTGCCAATGAGGCATCCAATCACGCGAATCTCCCTTTGCACCAAACACCACAACAGCTATGAAGCCAAACAGTGAACCCAATATCTGACACGATCCAATGGTAAGCAGTAGAAACACATAACGATCATCGTCTCGAGACGTACGCAAAAACGACAGAGTCAATGGCAGTGCAATCAAACACATTACAAAACACAAAGTGGCAAACACTTGCACAGCTATATAGAATCCAGGCAATAGGAAATCATGTATAATGTAATACTCCTCTTCGAAGACCCACATGCATCCCTTAAATCTGGTCTCATAAAACCTATGGATGTCCTGGAAATTGTTGAAGCACACCTCCCATAGACCCAAATTGGTAAATCGTGGATCACTTAGGCGTCCATCTGTAACCAGCCAGTATGGAGTGACGAATGCTATGAGAAATAGGGTAAAGGCCACTGCTGAAATGCCCACAGCAACACGGGTATTGCGATTGCTGGCCCCCATTTTTAATAATTCTGCATAGGATGGTGCAACAGGCTGAAGTTTTGTTGTATATTTTCAAGAATTTATTTACTAAATTTCCACCGTTCCACGCCCAACAACTAATAACTCATTCCACAAACACGAAATTTGGATTGAATGTTGGAATTCGGGAACCTATTTTAAAAGCGTAAGGGAAACATCGCCGTTATTGATGTATCAGGTGGCTATGAAGAAATACAATTACGCATGTGTTTTCACAGGGCTATTACAACAAAATGCGCAATTTGAATACTAAATTTCGATAAAAGGAAGTGACAAAAATGACGTTTTAATGGCTTTGGAATACAGAGCTATGATTTCCTTTGACGTAGTTTAAAACATGGTATAAATACAGAAGGTAGAACAAAGATACCCCCAGAGTACAATATTTTTCTTTCTGTCTTGAATAAAAAAATACAATGATTCGAAATTATATCAAATTTGGTTGCAAAATAAATGCAATTTTTTCGAAATGGGTAACAAATTGCACAATTTTGTGATAAAACTGTATTGTCCTACTATTTTAGATTCAATCTTGTGGAATAACCCCGAAATTCCATTCTTGTTTTTCGGTTATCACAATATAAAAATTTTGTTAAAAATATTAAACCCTTCAGAGGAAGGAAGGAAACCCATTTACTTTACTCATATATCAAGGAGATCAATGAAACAATTACCCAGATTTTACTTTCAATTTCATTGCGTATACGTCAAATGAAATCGAATTTCAAAACCAATGGTTTTCAATTGACATATAAGACATTTGGATTGGTGTAAAATTGTTCCAGCAGCTGTGTCGATGCATCTACCTATATTCTTCTACCATGCACCAACACATGGTAGAAGAATACATGTATACGCATCGATACAGCTACTGGTACAATGAATTGTCAAACCAATTTTGCAATTGACAATTTTGAATGAAAAATTATTCAATTTTGTAAAAATTGTTGAAAAAACTCCTTTTGACGTCGAATATGAAAATATATACAAATCCTCTTATATGTAAAGAAACATTTTAAAATTTACAATACAGGTAAATGCATCAACGCTTAAGAACATTGATATGTCAAAAATGTTTAAAAATTTAAGTAGTCTATATGACGTCATTTTTAATTCCAAAAGTGGTTTGACAGGTCATTGTTTCAGCAGCTGTGTCGGTGCAACTACCTGTATTATTTTACCATGGTGATAATCATGGTAGAATCAAGAAGGTTAAACAGTGCAAACATATGTTTATTATTTTTTTTTCAAAATTATTTGTTTGACAGCATCTCATTGTCAAAATATATACATATAAGCCCATTGTAAATACACAAATTGGAGATGGAAACGTAGTTTTTATGCAGTGAAATTTGACAAGGCAAATAACAGAGAATGTAGAGATGAGTACGCTTTTTTGAAATGGGTTTACCTTCTTAATTTTACCATAATAATAATTTTTTACAAACGACTCGTTCACATTCCATAATATATCGTGCAATAAAATTCTTAACTTCTAAATACTTCAAGTAAAAAACATGATGAACAATACAGGCCAATAAAAAGTTATTACTATGCCTATTTTTTATATAAAATCTTAATTAATTTCTATACAATTAAATAAAACAAATATTAAATTATTGTTTCTTCTGTCAAACCCTTATTTATAATTTAGGTGACCAATAACGCCGCCGCCATAACATTTTTGTAACGCCTTTGTTTTCTACTTGTGGGTTGTATTTAACAACGACAACTGTCACATGATTTTCACCTGACTTGACGTATACTTCGCAAATTCCAATTTTCCCAACAGGAAAATACGAAAAAAATCAAGGCGATATATTGTTCGAGTCCCATCTGTAAAAAATCCAACAAAAAACAGGCAAAATGAAAATCTGTGGTCCTAAACTGTCCCTCTGTGGTTTGATCATCTCCGTTTGGGGCATTATCCAATTGGTGAGTAGTGAAAAGAAAAAGTGTTTTGTGTGTAGAGATATGAATATGATGATGGCGAGCACTGTTTTGCCCGAAACAATGGCTGGCGTATGACGAAAAGAATTCGTAACTGTATTGGAGTGTCTCCATCGCAAAAAAGGGTGGAGTGGCGACAGTGGATAAGATGTTATTGTTTTCAACAGAAAAATATACATTTTGGAAAGACATAATAAATACTACTTTTTCTTTTAGGTGTTGATGGGCTTGTTCTTCTATATCCACAGTGTAGCCTTGATTGAGGATTTGCCCATTGAGGAGGAATACCATAGTTTGGATGCATTCTATACAGCTGCCAACAATGCTTACAATCAGGTAATGTTATTTTTATTTTGATACTAGTAATGGTTTTTATATTCAAGAACCTTATTGGTATGCAGTGAGTGTGCGTGATTGACCTTGAGTCTAGTTTAATAATAATTTGGTTAAAATCATATTACAATTTTCGTGTGTCGTGCTTTATGATAAATCCCAATCAAATTGCGTAAAATCACACATCGAACCTCACAACAATCTAAATATGGTGTTCTCGTGATCTGTTCACTTGATTCATGGCATAACAGCCTTTGTAGCTTGTGTATAGGATTTTTTTGTTAAAATATGATTAAGAATTAGCTACTTCATTAGCTGATAACAATGTTCATATCTTTTGTTGTTTGTTTAAAAGAGTTCAGAAGTATCATTTTTTTAAAAAATGCATAAATGTAGATTTTTAGTAGTTTCTTTGATCTTCAGATTGCATCGCTTTCGTCTAATACGACAGAAGTTATGATTCATTGATCCATAATATGCGAACTTGTAGCTGTCAATGTTAGGCGTCATTTTCCTATTTTGTATCATTTTATAATAGACATTTTTGTGCAAAGAGCAAATATAAAATAAAATGTTATCTGTGGTTAACTCGCCAATACGATATCGAACAGACTGCGATTGAAAAGAATTTGTGTATGCACACATTAATTTGATGAACCATAAATTAAGTACAAATTTAAAAAGCACACTTTAAGAAGTTGTGATAAATGCCAATCTACCAGGAATAAATATCTCGGTTTTTTTTTATCTGAGACTCTTTTTCATTTTTTACAGATTATTATAATCGTAGTGCTATATGTGATTCATTAACATAATTTAATTTTTTTCAGAACGCCTACAACTGTTGGATTGCAGCTTGCATCTATGTGCTGACCTTATTGTTATCTGCCCAACAATTCTATGTCAACAGTCGAGTAACTGCCAACTAAGTTTCTCCAGATAATAAAACATGTACAGAGGGATGTTGCAGACTTAGATTAGAGGAAGAAACGGGGAAATTAAACTAAGCATCATGAACAACATTGTTGTATCCCAATACACCATTCCCTCCCCAACGACACAAAATGTAGAATCTGCAATTGGATGTTACGTTTGCTTCATTAACAACAACAATGTAAACTCTAGTTGTCTAGTTACTTAAATTCAAATTCGTTTTCCAAACATTAAGTAAATCACAAAAAACAACAACAACAAGAACACAATGACGATCATATATAAAAAATTCTTATTTGTTCATTCACCCATTTTTTTTGTCTTGAATAATAATAACCAGCTCAAAAGAAGATTTTTCAAAAAGCAATTGTGTTTAATTTTCGCTTGGTGTTTTAATTTTGTATTATTCATTTATCGAGTAAGAAACTGCAAATATTTTATTTCCAACAACATTCCTTAAGATCGTCATCCGTTGTGCTATTTGAGAAACATTTTATGCTAAGTTTTCAAAAACATATTTCTTCAATGTTTTGTAATTATTTTGCAAGATATCAAGTATTTTTCTTTTCCTCCAGTTTAGTGTTTATTTTTTTGTTTGTTTATTTAATATTTTAGTCATTGTTGTCTACCTGTATAATTGAGAGAAGATTCAATATAAAATCTGTTTTTTTCTTGGTTTTTTTAATAGCTATCATTTTATTTTGGATTTATACTCAGTATGTTCTTAAACACAATATCAGTAATATTTTGAGAGTTCATTCGAAAATATTAGTTAATATTTAACGAAAGCAATTGTAAAACAAATTTTGTATTAATATATAGTTGTGTGTGTATCCTAGTGTGTGTAAGTTTCTTGTTTTGCAATTGCTTTTCGTTGATATTGTCTAAATTCGAAATTCGATTAATTACCAGCTTTTTTTTGTGTTAAATTGATATACACAAAAATAATAACCGAGAAGTTTATGTAAATTATATAAGCGTTAGTAAATGAAAAAATACAACCCACAATAATGTATAATTACTGTCAATAAAGATTATTATAATAATAAATCAATATACAAAACAAACTCATGTTTATTTGCGTGTTTTTATTAATTGATAATACTAATTTGACTTTCATTGTAGTTTAGAAATGCGGGTGGGTTGTTGTAATAACAAGATATAAAGACCACAGCTCGGTGCAATGTAAACATGTAAAGTATCTATACGGAGACGTGGACCTGCACAGACAATTTACTGTCTTAGGCTGTAGTATCCATTTCGAACTTCAAATAACAAGTTTGAAACAATTTCGATGAATATTGTCGCTAAAATAACCAAAATACTGAATATCGGGAGGTACCGTTATATGGGGTCTATACCAAAAGTCCTGCAGACATAACATACATTTGAGTAAAATCTTATCAAACTACTTCAATTCGTTCGGAAGCTAGAGTGATTTCCACAGACGGATAGACGGACGGACATCGCTAAATCGAAATAGAATTTTATGCTGATCAAGAATATTTATACTTTGTGGGGTCTAAACTATATATTTCGAGGTGTTACAAACGGAATGACAAAATTAATATACCCTCCATACTATGGTGGAGGGTATAGAAAGTCATAGCTTCATGTGGACAGTTATCGGATCTAATATCAAAATTATGCCAAAATATAAGGAGAATTATTCAATTATACCAATAGATCTGGTTCCTCCTACCTAAAATGAAATCCCTTACGTAGTGCTTAAAGTTTGCAGTCAGAGAACCGAATGCATTTATAAATTCTTGTCCGAAAACCGTCATTACAAGAAACAAAATGCTAAGTTTTAAATACCTTTTAATGATAAAAAGATAAATCATAGTGGAATTTCTAGCCCATTAATGTCCGAAGGTAGGAATTCAAGTTCCAAACATCATTAGTATGGATCCTCCTCTGATGGTTTCTAGGAGACGTTGAATTGGTTTTGAACAGAAAAATCGCATGTGAGTCCATTGTGGTTTTACTAATACCCTACTCGGAAAACTTCAAATAAAAGACTTTGAAGATTTTTTGGTGTAACAGATAAACATTATCCTATTATTCTTTCCGAAAAGAATAAACTAAGATATTATATAAAACCTTCAAACTAAACTAATTTTAAATTTTGAGTAATAACCCTCAGCCTATTTGATTATTTAAATATATTTTGACTTCTGTTATGATTATTCAAATGGTTGACTCTCCATGGAGTAAGTTCCAAAGGAATGGGTCAGGTTTGGACTATATTGGTTACTTACTTCACTTTATACAAAATATGTGATCATTTTTAGAAAAAGTTAAAATGTGCGTGTACCAGATATATTCGACCGATGTATTCCATATTCATACTTCCTTTTGTTTTTTAAAATCTTGAACACTATGTGGGGGAGGTACCAGAAGAAATGGTCCGATCTGTACAATTGTGAATTGGGTAGTTTGAAGAGAACCGGATGCTTATTTTGGATTTTATGATAGTTTTGCACATTTAAAACTTTGGCCTTTTGTGGGGAAGGTACCAGAAGGAATGGTCGAGTATCTACCATCTTCATAACAGATCTTGTGTTGATGAAATTATTGGGAAGTGCCACGTCTGAATTGAATCGGATGTTAGTTTCTTGTTTTATGAGCTTCATGAATATTTAAATATTTTGACCCTTTGTGAAGAAGGTACTTAATGGAGTGGACCGATACATTCCATCTTCGCAGCAGACCTTGGGTTAATAAACATACTTTGATGTGTGTAATTTCATGACAATCGGTCACTTACTTCCCTCTGTGGGGAAGTACTTGATGGGGTGCACCGATATTGTCCATTTTCGCACATGACCTAGCACTGATGCAAATATTAGGATTTGCAAAGTTGGAGCAAAATCAGATTATGCTTTCTCTTTCTGTGCAGTAAATTATTTTCTTTGAAAATGTTAACATTTTGTAGGGGAAGGTCCCAGTAGAAGTGGACTGATATTGCCCATCTCCGAACTCGACCTAATTATATAATAATATTACGTTGTGCGCACCAGCCAGACAGACGGGCGGACGAACGAACGAAGACCTAGGGTCTAAAACCGTTATTTCGATGGGGCACGATTTGGCCGTATCAAATTGTACATACCCTCTCTAGCCATATGGCTGAGGGTATAAAAGGGCCGAATTTTTCGCTGATGAAGTTGTTGGTACTTGCTAGTACATGTATATTGTAACCTTAAGAGATACTGAAAACTGCACTTCATATCCTAAAAAGTCTTTAATTGTTTCAAAGGCCATATAATCATTAACAAAATTGTTTCCTCCGATGTACATTTTTTAATACAAACCTTCTAATTGACATAAATATTTGAAAACACAAACAATTATTGATTAATAATTTTATATATTTTTTAAATTTTATTTCTTACTTTTTTTGGATAATTATTTTTATTTTATTTCATTCATTTTCCGTATATAAATTAATATTAATTTATTGTTTGTTTTTGTTGATCGAATATATAATAATAATAATATACTTAGCAAAATAGCGTTTTAATATACAAATCTATTTGATAATACATAAATATAAGTACAGTATTAAACTACATATACAAATACATTATTATTTTCTACATTATTTTCGAGAACTTAAAGCTACACTGAATAAAAAATAACGATAATCATATAAAATGATGATAATTAATAATAATAAAATAAATGTAAAAATACAAAACAAAAAAAACAAGCCTTTTTTAAAAGCCACAAAAATACAGATTTCATTCATTTTGCATTCTAAAATTACATTAACAACTACACACACACACACCCAAAAGCAAATAATTTACTTTAATCATTCCATCGAAGTGAATTTTTTTTATCATAATTATTGTATATTTGAATACAGCATTGAACTACAACTAAAATGCCCCGAATTTGTGATAATTAACAACAAAAAATGTAATTTTTCGTTCCTAAGTACGTTTACCGTTTAAATGGATTGTTTAGCTAATAAATTATTGATTAAAAATATATATATAAATGAGGTTACATGTTAATGAAAATAATGATAAAGCGGATGCGGGAAAAGATGATATGATGGTTATTTACGAAATACGTAACAAATCTAAATGATTGTATCCCAAAATCGAGAAAGTAGAGTTGTTAAATTGAAACAGAATCCACAGTCTTTAATAGTTTGCTTATGGATTTACGAACAAAGTCGTAAATCAAATAATTGGATATTGCTTAATTTCGATATTTGAATATTTGAAGAGTAGATTTGTAATGTTTAAGCATCGACACATTTAGGCAACAAATTTGTTTTGAATAATTTAAAACTTCTCTTTGTGTGACAAGGTAGATTCATACCGTGGTCATCCAGAAATTCTTTAAATAGTAAATAATTTAATTATTATAGATAGTATTTAGATACAAATCATTTGATTTCAGGGAAATTAATTAATTTTACACGAATTACTTGCATTGGAAATAATAAATAAGAATCCTTCGTGGTCGAAAAAAAACCGTCTGCATGAGGAAGTTACTCTTAATCCAGATACTACAAGAAATGTTAGCGATAAATACCCAGAATGCCAAAAAGTAACTCAATGATAAGTTCAAGTGATTCCGGACTACATCATTTCAAGTAAAAGATGTCATGATTTTCACAAAGGCGTGGTGAGGATTGGATGCATTCTATTTCGCATCTTGATCATGCCGTCAGCAAGACTCCTTAGAAGTGGTTGAAGTATTATTCGTTGCAATATTTTAAAAAAAAATCATTGAAACTGACTCATTTGAACCTCATTTTCCGACATAAAGATGTAATGACTTGAATGCACATGGGATGTTGTTGAAATATAAAGAAATATAAGGAACAGCATGTCCCTTTCGTGATTCTATGTGAACTGCTTCACAGCGGAGAGAGTATTACGTCATTCTGAACTAATTCAAGATATTCGAGAAAAATGATTCATAACAAGCAAGATTTCATCGTCTAAGTAAGCTTGGTAAAAAAGATGTAGCATGAGAAGAAATGAAGGGAAACTATAATCCCAAAAAACGATATGAACTATCAACAAGTAAAAAAACATTAAGTTCGGCCGGGCCAAACTTTTAATACCCTCCACCCTAGGGTAAAAGAACTTTAGAAGAAATGTGGCAAAAAACATTAAAATGTCGAATATCGGGAGGTACCGTTATATAGGGGCTACACCAACACGTGCACCTATAATTACAATGTTTCGCCACACGAACTAGGACCCATTATGACCCACAAATACCAACTTTTACACAAATCAGTGAAAAAATGTGGCATAAATCATCAAAATACCGAATATCGGTAGGTACCGTTATATGGGGGCTATACCAAAACGTGGACCTATACATGCAATGTTTTGCCACACGCTCAGGGACCCGTCATGACCTACAAATACCAATTTTCAGATAAATCCGTGAAAAAATGTGGCATAAATCATCAAAATACCGAATATCGGGAGGTACCGTTATATGGGGACTATACCAGAACGTGGACCGATATATCTCATTTTCAATACCAACCATCCTAGGGACAATACACACACTTGTGCCAAATTTCAAAGGTCTACGTCAAATAATGTGGGCTCTATCGTGATTTCAACAGACAGACAGACAGACAGACAGACAGACAGACAGACGGACAGACAGACAGACGGACATCGCTAAATCGTCTTAGAATTTTATGCTGATTATGAATATATATACTTTATGGGGTCTACGACGAATATTTAGAGGTGTTACAAACGGAATGACAAAGTTAATATACCCTCCTACCCATGGTGGAGGGTATAAAAAAGAATCTTTAGAAACAAAAGGAATGCACTGAACTAAGATGATATGTACTAAATGCAATTAAAACAAGTAAAATAGTATCAGTTGGTTTTGCCGACAGATGTATACCCCCAGCCTTGAGTTATGTTTTTTCAAACTGTTGACCCTTTATGGAGGATATTCCGAAGCAGTTGGGCAATATTGAGCAATTCGACCTAAGACTGATAAAAATATTACAACATGCCAGATTTTGACTATATAGACTACTTTATATGAGATATGAGGTATCAGAAGGAATAATCCAATATCTACCATCTTTATAATGTAATCTTTAGGTTGATAGAACTATTGAGATATGCCAAGTCCCAATGAAATCGGATGTTAATTTCGTGTCTTATGTTAATTTCGTATCTGTGGTGTAAGTACCAGAAGGAATGGACCGATATATTCCATCTTCACACCAAACCTTGGGTTAATAAAAATATGGTTATGTGTGTGATTTCATCGGACACTAACATCGCATTTTATAAAAGTTATAATTGTGAAAAATTTTGATCCTTTGTGGGGGAGGATATTGAGGTAGGACATTGTTCACTTTCGCACCTGATGCAAATATTAGAATTCGCAAAGTTGGAGCAAAATCGGATTATCCTCTACCTTTCTGTGCAGCAAATTACTTGCTTTGAAAATGTTGACATTTTGTGGGACCAGAAGGAGAAGGATATTGCCCATCTCCGTACTTGATCTAAGTTTGATAATAATATTACGATGCACCAAGTTTGGATCAAATCGGACACTAACTTCGAGAGTTATCCTGCGCACCAGCCAGCCAGACAGGCGGACATTCCTAGATCGACTCCAAATGTCCTGAAACGGATTTGGTCCAAAGAGACCTAGGGTCTAAAACCGTTATTTCGATGAGACACGTTTTGGTCGTATCAAATTATATATACCCTATCTAGCCATATGGCTGAGGGTATAACTAGCCATATGGCTGAGTGTACAATTAAATACGAGAATTTATTGAATAGCTATTCTTGTAATATCTAGAACAATTTTTTATAGGTGAGGATGTGTTTTCGAAAGTACGCTACTATACTTTTTGCATGCTTGAAAATATATTATATTGAAGGAAAAAGCTTTAGTATGTTCACATTGTACTGCATTTGAAATCTCCAGTAGATTTAAATTGCCTATTTTCTTGATTGTTATAATGGATGTTAAGACGACTTAAAAACATAGTATTTGTTAGCCTCTTCATTGAATGACATGAAAAATAAGGTTTGTTAAAAAATGAACGACTTGAAATGAACAATATTGTCTAGGACTTTTACTGTACATTTAAATCGTCAAATTCATTGCTATCAGTTAGCCTCTGTAATAAATGACATGGGAAATAAGGTCTGTTGAAAAATGTACAACATTGTTGTAAATGATCTAACATTAAAATTTTTCAATTGGTCTGTTCCAGAACTGCAAAAATCTTTTTTTACTACCATAACCGATTTTCCCTTTATGATATCGAAAAACTACACAAGTAGTATATTCTTGCAAGTTCTGAAACAGAGTCAATAAAAATATTTTTAAGATTTTTAAGAAAACTGTTAAAAGCATCATTACACAATAAATATTTGACTTATTTCAATTATTTGTTTTATTATTAAATCATAGATTTTGGTTTAAATTCAACAACTCTACTTGCATTACAAAAATAAAATAAAAATGATAATAAATAAACAAATTTTGAGAATAAATTTTACAGACTAGAACTTATGATTAAGAAAATTATTGCCTTAATTTTGAATTACATTTATGTAAGTATTTTCCTTAACTTAATTCGAAAAAACATGATTTTATTTTTGATTAACGATTACTTCTTCTTAGCATACAAATTTAAGGATTTTCAATATTGTTTTTTTCCTTAACGAATAGTTCACTCTTGTTTATAATTTATAATAATGATTTTGGAAAAGCATTTAGAAAAAGTACATTACTCGTTTATTACAACATTTCGATTAAGTTCGTTTGTGGGATTGAAGGAGGCTGAGAGAGAGAAAAAATCTTTAAGCTTCTTAATTTTTTATCAGAGAAATATTTGATTGATTGATATTTGAAATTTTAGTTTTTGGTTATTTTCCTTCTTCTCCTTCTTTTTTCTCTATGTGGTAATTGAAAAAATGTATATAGTTGAGTTAGACATCTAAAGACAAGGCCCAAAAGTTAAGTGTGTTGTGCTTTTTGTTTAAGGTTTATCATTTCAATATCATCGTTTTCAAATGGTTTGTTGGGTTTTTGATTTTTTTTTTGTAGTTGTTTAGATTAAAGCGCGTGCATCATTAGAGGAGCCATAGACATTATGCATAGCTAATATTTGGTTATAGATAAATATTAGATAAATTTTATAATAATTTAGTTTATAGTATTCGGAAATAAAGAACTTTGTTTTGTTGTTTTAGAATTTCACTTGGCCATTGTGGCACAGGGAGGGGGTGTTTTGTATTTAGTTGTTGTTGTTGTCAGTGACACATTTATTTCTCCTTATTCCTGCATTTTTTGCAAATTTAAACGTTCTTGGTTCCGGCTAGATGATCGAGAAGATTTTCGATTGATTGATTCCAGGTACGCGGCTGGGGTCCAACCTTCAGCATTGGTATCTAAATGAGGGGAAAAAGAAGATAAATAATATTAAGAACTATTTTTAAAGGGACAAATAAAGTTCATATAAATTAGGTAAATACAATGGATAACAAGGCAAATAGAGAATCAATAACGGAAGACATCTGGGTTTACCCGTTTTTTTAAACCTTCTATATATAATATTTTCTGATGGTATAATAATTATAGAGGATCTGTTAAATTCTTAAAAGTCTTAAAAAGGGGTTTCTATCTATATAACCTGTAGATTGTCTTTTGTTGGTAAACTCCAAATTTAAAAATAGGTCACTAGAAGTCTTACCCTATTTTGAAGGTTATAAATCTACCTATAGAAACAGTGAAATCTGTCGAAGGGCTTGTTTCTATTAGAGAGGTCCTTAAAGTCTTCGGTCGAAAGAAGTGCTCTTATTGTTAGTGAGCCTTAGGAGAGTGGTTCTATCTATAGGATATGGATTTGTATATCCACGGGACCTGCTTAAAAAAAACTACCACTTGTTTGGATATTTTACATGGAAAAGGGTTTCAAAATGCATTTCTGTATACGTCCCTGGTTTCCATTACCTATTTAGTTTATGGTATTTTATGTACATTTGGCCCGTTGAAGGTCATCTATCTAGAAGAAGTCTTCTCAAGGTTTTCAGCTTGTAGATGGAGCGCAGCGCCAAATTCTATACCGATTAAAACATGTTCGTCTGTGGTAGTGTCAAATTAGGTATATAAAATGTTGGTAGTAGGCACATTATGTTCGAAATTTGTATGAGATTGAAATTGGGGTATATCTGTTCGTACAGTCGCCATAGAAAGGTACAAGCCGTCATTTGGTATTTTGGGATTGCAGCCAAAATTCCCAATGGAATTGTTTGAAATTTGACTTGTGACGTTCTCAATAGATAACATTATATAGGGCAGAAATGGTCTATATGGATCTACGTTTTCCCATAGTTCCCACAGGAATGTGTCTCCTGATATTCGGTATTTTAATGATTGTAGTCACATTTTCCAACAGAATTGATTGAAATTTGGTATTTGGCCTACTTATTGGCCACTGTTTTTCCTGGCAGAAATTTTTCTACATGGGTCCACGTTTTCCTATAGCCCCTATACAGGGTGAGATGAAAAAACTGCACCCAACTTCAGACTGCTGTCATTTCTAAGCCACTCGTCCGACAGCTGTTAAAATTATTCCAGTGACAGTTCATTATATTGTTTACAAGCGTACAAAAGCATTTTGGTGAGAATTTTCCAAAAAAAAAAGTTATTCGTGATGGAATTCAAGCGTGATAGTGCGATTTCTTTATATTTGGCTGGAAAACCCCAAGTGGCTATTTTTAGAGCACTCCAGCATTTCTATGTGAATAAATCTTTTGTGTCACGTACCATCGCTCGTTACCGTGATACTAGTATCGTAGGAAGTGGTTGGAAGAAAACAGCAACATCAGCAGAAATGGTTCAAAAGTAAATAAGCGACTTGATCGAAACCGGAAGACTTTTTAGTGGCCGAAAAATGACTCGTGAGATGAACATATCGTAATATTCCATTCTGCAAATATTGAAAAATGAGCTCGGGGTAGGGCCACTGAAATTCCAAAAAGTGCAAGAACTTACTTCGAAACATAAAGAAAATAGACTCAAAAGAGCTAAAGAGTTTCTTCGCTTGGCCGAAAGTGGTGAACTGCCGAATTAGGGTTTCTCCGATGAGAAAACATTCGTTGTCCAGCAGTTTGTAAACAAACAAAATGATCGTGTTTACTTGCCAAAAAGGTCAGCTGAAAATGTGCACCTTCGCTTGGCCACCAGAACTCAAGCGCCAACCATGGTGATGGCATGGGCCGCCATAACAGCCGATGGTCGCTCTCCGCTCGTATTAATCGACCGTGGCATCAGAATAAATGACGCGAAAACATTCATGGGGTGTATTGGAGCCTTGGGCAAGGAAACATTTTGGCCGCAGACGTGCCACCCAAGAATGGTTACAAAATGAGGCTCCTCGCTTCATTTCCAGCTCACCATGGCCACAAAAATCTCCGGATACCAATCCGTTGGACTATTGTGTCTGGAGTATTTTGGAAAGCAAGGTTGGCACTAAAAAATATCAAAGTGTCGATCACCTCAATCAAGCGCTTCGACGAGAATGGACCAAAATGCCGCAGAGCGCCATTCGGGCAGCGTGTGACGGTTTCATTGGTCGTTTGAAGGCCATAATTCGTGCCAAAGGTGACCTATTCGAACCAATCTAAACTTATTCTAAAATTTGATGCTATTTCCGACATTTTTTGCTTTCATTTAATAAAAATGTAAAAGTTATGGCGTTTGATATTGTTGCAGTTTTTTTATCTCATCCTATATATCGGTACCTCATTTTTCATCTTTTTAAATATCTGATATTCGGTACCTGGATGATTTTAGCCACATTTTTCAACGAAATTGTTTGAGATAGGGTATTTGGCCTTTTTATTGACCCCTGTTTCTTCTGACCGATATGTTTCTATATATTTCGATGTTTTCCTATATGCCCTATATAACGGTACCTCCCGATATTCGGTATTTTGAAAATTGTAGCTACATTTTCCAACCTGAATTGTTCTATATAGGCCCACTTTTTCTTATATCAGTATATCCGTGTTTGGAATATTTTACACACATTTTTTAACTGAATTGTTTGAATTTTGGAACTCGAAGTTCTTAGTGGGCACTAGAGTCTCTGACAGAGGAGTTTCTATATGAGGTCAAATTCTTTTATAGCCCCTATACAATAACACCTGTCCATATTCGGTAGTTGAATGCATTTTGTCACATTTTTCAATGGGATAGTTTTAAATTTTGTATTTGAAACTCGCAAAAGACAAAAGAAAAAACCTGCAGAAGGAAATTGTCTTTTTTTTCATAGGTCCACTATGACGACCACACAAGGAACCGCCCGTTTTTATAAACACCCTATATACAAAAAGATTTGTAGGTGTATTTCTATCAATAGTGAGCCTTATATATTTAGAAAACCTGCGGAGGATGGCCTATCTTATAAATAGCGATTTGGTGATTTATAAATAGCTTTATGTGTATAGAACACGTGTAGAAAATCTTCTACGGGCAAAAGATTTTCTAACTAGGAAATTGTCAACTATTTTTAACAGAAAAAAACCACATGAAAAAGGTTTACAGTACATGACATGTAATACGAATTTAGGTATTATATTATAAAGTGTTATTTTATAATATTTTAAAGTTAGTAAAATACAATACAAATATTAATACATAAATAAATACAAACATATCTTACCATAATAAAGAACAACAATAATATTGAAAAATGTTTTGTGAAATAATTGACAGTTTAATAAATGATAAATGACATTTACCTAATATTCGCACATACCACCAACCGGCACAGCCAACCTTAAGCAGTTCAACCGTATCACCTTCACGCATCGACACCTCCGAGTGGCCGACGGCCACATAGTCGGCTAAGGCTACATATTTACTTCCCTACAAGATTGACATGATGACGTAGGCGATGATGATGAAGACGAAACCAAATAAAAATAGACAATGATGCCCACATGGATGATGTAAAAGGATGTTTTTGAATTTTGATAAGAGGCCAAAACGAATTTGATGATGATATTTGAAAATCCATAAAAGTATGATAATGAAAATGAAAGACAATGATAAAAAAGTATTGATTAGTAAGTTTTCAATTTAATTGTTATTCAAAAGTTTGCTTTTTTTGAAAAAGATTAGTTAAGTTGTTATTCTCAAACTCAAACATTAGCCATTAACAAAGCTTTGTATAAATGCATAAAAATATTATATATAAGTATTTTTTGAAAATGTTTATAAGAACTGGTTGAAAAACGAACTCAAGCATAATTAAGTTGTTGTAATAACTGTAAAAAACCAAGCATTGTAAATAAACTAAATAAAATGGTGTTTTTAATTAATAAAACAAAGTGTTAAATTGATGATGGGTTATGTGAGTTGGGCGTTAGTGTTACATATTTTTCTAGGTTAGGTGTTCTAGCATTATTTGTGATATTTTTATGTAATTGATTTTAAACAAAATGCATGTAAGTGCCATAAGGGGGTTAATTTGAGTGTGTGTATATAATATCTTTGGAATAAGTTTGATTATTTCTAAATTAAATCATTCAACTGACGAATTTTCACTATGACATAATTTTATGAAATTTTGAAACATATAAAAAACCAAACGTTTCAAGTACCACGTTTCATGTCACAGAGTTGTGAAAATCCGAGTCTCACCAATATTGGAAAGATAAGGGGGCTGGAATTACAAATCTCCCTTTTAAAAACCTGAAGGCATGGTCTATGAATATATAGCCAACCGAAAATTAGTTTTGTCTTTTTATGCTGGTAGCTCTCGGCATGCTTTTGCATAGTCAACATGATGATTGAGCCAGAAGACCTAGATCATTTTTCAAGTACTTCACTATTTTTCGATTTTATCACGAAATTCACACTCATATTTTATTCTGGAACAGTCCTTACTGTCAAATATCCTTCAGTTGTTGATATTTTTAACATTTTGCAATTGGATGACTTCAATATTTTCACTCATGCCTCTGAATTGACGTAGACGGCATCTGCTGATCTGAATTTTTTGAATTCCTTCTTCTATATAGTAATTAGTCTACGCTGAAGGCAGCAGCTATTAAAATTCAAGATTTCCAATACATTCACATACATCAATATGGAAAGAGGAAATGTGTGATTTGCAAGGTTAAGGATTCTGAGATGACTGAAGTATTTTTTAGGCCTTTGCGATTGGGTGAACCCAAGATTCTGCAACTTTTTAAGTCTTAGAAAGCGATACATACGTGGAGAAAAGAACACTCATATCGATAATAATAACTCTCTCTCTATTTCTATAAGAAAGCCAGAAATTATTATTATCAATGACCATAAAGCAGATCACAGATTTGCTCGTTTCCATTCGAAAGAGAAACTTTCTCCAGAGCGGAATTGCTCGAAGAGTGGGAGTTTTATAAGGTGTTTGCTCTCACTCTTTTGTTTTGTGTGGGAACGCTCCCGAGTCACTCCTCTTTGAAAAAATAGAACGGAAACAGAATCGCTTGAATTAAAGTGAGAGTTGCATTCGCTCCCGAGTCACTCCTCTTTGAAAAATAGAGCGGAAACAGAATCGCTTGAATTAAAGTGAGAGTTGCATTCGATATCGAAAAAATTATTCAAAATTTTGACTGTTTTTGGCTAGGTACTTAAGTAGTGGACTGATATTGTCCATTTTCACTCCTGACCTAGCATTGTTGCATACATTAGGATTTGCAAAGTTGGAGCAAAATCCGATTATCCTTTCTCTTTCTGTGCAGTAAATTATTTTCTTGGAAAACGTTGACATTTTGTGTGACAGTTACCAGAAGGAGTGGATCGATATTGCCCATCTCCGAACTCGATGCAAATCTGACAATAATATTACGACACACACAGACGGATGAACATCGCTAGATCGCCTCCAAATGTCTTGAAACGCATTTGCTCCATAGAGACCTAGGGTCTAAAACCTTTATTTCGACTAGGCACGTTTTGGCCGTATCAAATGATATATACCCTTAGTAGCCATATGGCTAAGGTATAAAAAGAGTCAAGGTGCCTAAATGTATGCTTGAAAAAATCTATATATAAATAGTAAAAAGTCTAGACAAATTAATATTTACAGTGTTCATAAGGTTTGCCTTTTTGGTACTACATTAGGGTGTGCCATTCGCAAATGTTATTTGGTTAGTTAGGTGAATTTTTTTTTGTGTAAGTTCAATGGGTAGTATAAAAAACTGTTAACCGGAGTGTTCTAAATATTATTGCTAGAATTGGGTAGTTGTGTCAGGTGCCGGGAAAATCCCAGCAAGGATATGCAGTTTTTTGTATTAACCATAAAATTCATACACATGAGACGAATTTAAACGATTTGCTTTAAGTTAAATCATAGACATCATGAGGTCTGTAAATTGAAAGGGCTAATTTGCACATTATGTCCGATTCATATACAAAGCTACTTTTTCCACATTTATGTTTAATATCTTTATGGCTTGCCTTTTTACGCTGTCAAGAAAATGCTAAACTAAAAAGTTAGAAGACTCTACTATGTAAACTGTATATTTGACCATACAGTATTATATAATAGAATATTTGAACAATATTTCATAATTCGAACAATATTACAAACAATATCCTTTTAGTTTAAACTTTTATATAACTTTCCATATAACTCCAATATTGTGTGGAAACAAGCATTAAGGTGAGTTAAAACTCTTAAGGCCAGTTTACACATCACAGTCATATTTAGCATACTTGTTGGAAGCGCCTAAAAGTATTTTATAAAAATACTAAATATAAATGTGAAAAAAGTCACTTTAAATATGACTCGTATATGATATGGGAACTAGTCTTGGACATTGAATCAATTTTGAAGCGATTCATGTTGTCTGAATGAATATATTCGAAGCGTTGAGCGATGACTGCAGCCTAAGTGTTTGCTATGTTATATGGCATTCGAATGCATTATAGCTGTGCCAAACAATTACGCAATTGTTTCATTATTTTTTTTTTGTTATCACAACACGCATACACGCACAAAATATTCTAAAAATTTCAAACATTTTAATTATTTGTTTAGTTGTGATTAGTGTGGGGTAGTGGTGGTGGTAGGGGTGAGAGACAAGGGGGTCAGAGGGGGTTAAACATTTGGTCTTACTAAATGAAATTTAACTTACGTACGTCATAGATATAGAAGATGGACATTTACAGGATCCATGGAAACAATTGAAAACAAATCGACAACAAAGTTATGATAGAGATGACGATGACGAAGTGGTACTATTATGATGTTGTAAAGACTTTTTGACGTTGATTCGTTTTTTTTATATGGTCGGCACAAAAATACACTGCTCTTTTACTATTTAAATATTGCAACTACTTTTTAACGCATTTTTGATTTAAAGCAACTCATTGCTAAGTTTCTTTGCATGGCATGGTGTTGATTGATCGATGATAGTCGTTCGTTGTAATGTTTGATTTTTTTTAGAAAATCATGTCGAACATATGTTCTGAATTGGTCTGACATTGATGAGAAAAGAGATGAATGACAAATAGTCGAGAATGTAATTTAAAACGAGTTTGGCCATTTTTTCTAATATCGTGGGTTGCTTCCAAAAATAACAAAACATTGAAACAAACACAAATGTTATATTTAAAGGTGTGCTGAATATTTCTTTTTCAATTCTGAACCAATTCATTTTCGAGTTTTATTGTGTTTCTTTTGTGTCGGCAGGATTGATGTTAATTTGGTGGAATTTTTCCTCTCTCTATTGTGGTACTTTGTGCAAAACAGTAACATAAATACTTAGCAGATCAATATTTGTTCACTTCATTTGTTTAAATGTTGAAATTAAAAAACTATTTGTCCAATAAATAATCGGAATTAGATTCAGACCTCTTATTTTTTAAAAAATAACTCTAAACCTTCATAAAATGAATTTGTACCAAGCTATGTCATTTAAGCATCCCAATATAAATTAACTCAATGTCTCGATAGAACCCCTCAAGGCCATTAGAAGGTTTAAAATAAATGAGCGACTTTTCAAAGACTTTTCTATATATAAATCTCTTTACAAAATATGTTATTGTTAGAAACTCTTGGGTATGGCTGCTATAGAGTGAATATCTCTAATATGAGAATGAGAGATCTTCTATTGGTGAAAAAAAATTCAAATAGTCTTCCACAGATAGTCTTCTTAATTCCGCTCTTCTAAAAGGTTTCTAAAGATAGGAAATCATAAATAGTTCATCTATGAATAGAAGATCTTTAAAAGTTCTTCTATGGATAATATCTTAGGTAGCTTTTTTATCGGCGGAACTTCTTCAAATAGTCTTCTTTCCTTAAAAACGCTTTTATAGATAAAAAAAATCATAAAAAATATTCTTTGGATCGAAGAAAGCTCAAGAGCTCTTCTATGGGTAGAATACCTTCAAAATACTCTTTTATAGACTAAGAACCCTAAGAAGGACTTCTGTGGAAAGAATGCCTTCGGATGCTGATCCACCAAAGACGCTATAAAAACAAACATAGTAGTCGTGTCTCTACAAAAAGAAGGTTCACAAGAGCTCTTCTATAAAGGGAATATTTTTTAAAAAATCTTCAAATAGAAGGCGCTCATAGGTCACCTAAGTCCATGTTTTCGTACCCCCACCATTCTATTTCTGATCAACTGCTCAATATCTCCCCCTGGAAGCGTTAGAACAATTTCAAAATGGTTTTCCTATTGGCTCCTATGTGTTTACTTTTTCGCACCTTCCCTGGAACTGGTAAAATTGTCAAAAAGGTACCCATATGAGTCCAAGTCTTTTTATCTGCCCCGGGTAAAAAAACTAAGTAAAATTTTAAGAAAAGATTTTCCCATGGGTCGACGGTTTCATGTCTTCCCTGGATTTGGTCAAAATTTTAAAAAGGGTCCTGTAACAGAGCAATTCAATGTAAAGAGTAAAGATTTTACAAAAAATCCCTTATGAGTCCACGTTTTTGTAGTTCCCAAGTACTGGGTAAAGTTAAAAAAAGGTTTCTCTATCCCCTGGAGCCCATGTGTGTCCACGTTTTCGTATGGATTGACGTTTTCGTACTTCCACTGTGCTGGGTAAAATTTTCATAAATGGGTTCCATATCCCTATGGGTCCCATTTGTGTCCACGTTTTCGCACCGAGTCAAGATTTTACAAAAAGTCCCTTATGGGTCCACGTTTTCGTACTTCCCCGGTACTGGGTAATGTTTTCAAAAAACACAATTGAAAACAAATTTTCAAAAATTTTTTTCAGCAACACATTTGGTGATTGTAAAATGTCGGTCGAATTGTTGTTAGTAATTATAAGGCGCCTAAAAGTATGGCATACAATTTCCCGGAAGTTATAGGACGAAATAACAGAAAATAGATGATATTAACGCGTTTTGAATGTTTGTGAGAGAGGAACATAAAAGAGTGGATTCATATGGTCCAGTTTCAAACTCAATAACGTTTGTAACAAGTCGGATACTTTTTTCGAGTGTTATCGTGGTCATCTGACAGAAAGACGGCCATTGCTAGATCGACTCCAAATTTTCGTCCAAAGAGATTTGTGGATCATTAACCAATAATTCGAACAGGCCTAATTTGTTGGTTTTACATTACATATATACTTTCTAAATACTCTAATAGTTTTTGATTTAGGGATTAGTAATGAAGCTTAGATTGAAAATCAGAATTTATATATGCGAATAACATCTTCCGTAAATGGTCGAAAGAAATTGAGTTATTTGGGACTTATTAACTGTAGGAGTTTTCGATATTAGGAATGATTGTTTCTAAACCTTTATGCTTTCATATTTAAATATACTTTAATAATATATAAAAACAATTATATATAAAAATATTAACACTTTTTAACAATCGCTGTTACTTTGCACAAAGTGACCACAATTTGAGAAGAAATGTTCGGTCTCTTCTACAAGAGATATTTACCCCTTAACAAATTTCAAATTAATTTAAAATATTACTTTTCTTCTTCGTTGCTGTTAACTTTCAAAAGAATATTTATTTTTGCCCAGTCATGGCAAATCATTGATTTCAATACACAAAACATAATTGAATTGAAAATTGCATTGAGTGTTGATTAATTAACAAACTACTTGCTTCTCTTTGTTTTCAATAAATACAGCTAAGTTTAAAACACATTTAACAAATTATTACTAAAACTAGTGTATGACTCTAATATTTTGCCTTCTATCTTTTATGTGGTAGTATCTTTTTTTTTTCATATTTACAGTTACACACTCACACTCTATTGAACAAAACAAAAGCATAAAGCAGCTTAATTAATAATAATTGTACTTGTAATTAAAATTCTAAACTTAATGAGAATAATCTTTATTGGTTTCTTCTTTCTATCGCTCTTTCTTTCTTCATATTATTATTAATATTCTTATTATATTGCACATGGAAGATTAGTTTTCTTTCGTTGGTTTTGGTTTGGTTTGGATGAGGGGGGCTTACAAGGAGACGAGTTTAACACTTAACAGAGCATTATTTGCATTGAGAATAACAACACAGAGGGCTATAAATTTTGATATTCTACTGGAGGCCACTTTAAGGTGACATTCCACATTCAAAGCCAAAAAGTGTTTTTTCAGCGACACTGTGCTATTATTCAAAACATGTCTGTAGTTTCAGTTTTTTTACAACAATTCAATGTTCAACAGAAACATAGAATTTCGAATTGGATTTGTTGGCATTGGTCGTATTACGAGGATATGAAGAACCATTATCTAGTTGCTGATTATGGTTGTTGTGATGATGATGATGATTGTGGTTTTGGTTGTGATGGTTGTTCGAATTATGATGATGGCCATTATGCGGAGTAGTGGTGTTGTTGCTAGTAGAAGTAGTAGTAGAGGTGGTGGTAGACCATGGTGCAAGGAAATTTATGAAACGCTACATAAATTGGAATAAATCAATCACACATACCACACGACAATTGAGGTTTTGAGAATTTTTTTTTTGGTTTGGTTTTGGTTTGGGATGAGATTTTTCATTACACGGCACAGACACCAGAGAGAAATTGAATTTTTATTTTCAATTTTTTTTTGGATTTTGGTTAATTATTTACGTTTTGCGTAGGACGTAAGTTGTTGTTGGTAATTTTAATATTGGAATGAAGTGTTTTTTTTTTGTTTTTGGTTTGGTGCATGGAAATAAAAAAGAGAACCCAAAAAACATGAAGAAAAAACAAGACAAAATGAATTAAAAAACATTAATAACATAAGTAAAAATAAAAACAAAATGAAACAAAACGAAAAAAGTTCCAAAAAAACAGGAATAACAAATTACACAAAATTTTGAAAATTCTAAATCAAAAATAATAAATAGGGGGAAATAAACCGAAAACCAATTGTATTTTCATAATTTAAATTGGGATAATTAAGAAGAGATGTCTTAACATTAAAAAAAACATGCCTAAAAATAGGCTTTAAAAACAAAAATATTTTCTAATAACTTACCGGTGTACTGCTGTTATCATCTGCCGTCGACATTTCATCCTCACTATTCGAATAGTCGGAACTCCAACCGCAGGCCTCATTATTGTGTTCCTTGTCCGTTGTCGCCGATGCTGCTGTTGTATTGGATGATATCGAATTAGCTGTTATACCAGATATCAGCGATATATTTGAACAGGGTGCCATCATACCTATGCCACTGCCACTACCACTATTACCACTGCCCAAACTGATGGTTGCACAATTATCATCACTACTACTACAATTCGAGTTACGATTCGATGATTCCGACGATGCATCACAACTAATGGTACGACCGGGACCGCCCAACAATATATTGGGTGTATCCCATGATGTGGTCTGTCGTAGGCCACGATGATTCAAACCGTACTGTTTGATTTTCTCACCTTTCAGCTCCTCCAGTTGGGTGAGCAGAACTTTTTTGATTTCCGCCACCCATTTGTTTTTGATTTCAAGTGTTGGCGCCTGCAGCGTGTGCACCTCTTGGCGGCCCTGTAACCAAACTTCAAAACGTTTTGTATCACCGCGCACGGATTCGGTTAGACCGATTTGAGACATCTGGAAAAAAAACAAACAAAGGAGGGGAGATAAGAGACCATTAAATGAGAGGGTGGAGAAAAGGGAGAGAGATGAAAAAAAATGAAAAAAAGATGAGAAAAATTAAAAAGAGGTGAGAAAAAATGCAAATCAAAAGGCTAGTTAACAAACCATGTTAGTCATCTGTTTAATGTAATTTCTTCCCAAATTTCTCCTTACAAATTCCATAGCATACCATTAGGCGATACATGTAATTGACTTGAAATGAGCTAGGATTCTAAAATTTGGAATGAGAGTCCTTGATAGATGTACTAAAGGTTTTTTTTTAAAGTTCGAACCTTAAATTTACGAAAAGTTCTAAAATGGTACGAAACTTCTATAACGGTTCCATTAGGTATTATGTGAACGGATAGAGCTAAAAACTGAAAATTTGCTATGGAATAAAGGTTGGAAAGTAAGTTTGATATACGAAGGAGGTTTTGGAAATTTGTACTAAGTGTGCAAACTGTACTAAATGGTACTAAATTTGGAACAGCTTGGTTTAGGGTGAACGGATGAAGCTGGAATTGTGAAATTTTGTATTGGGGTCCCTCTTGGTAGTAGGTTTGTGTTAAAAAAGGCGTTTTTGGGAATGTCTACTGCAAGTGCACGAAAAGTACTAAATGGTACTATATTTGATACAATAAATATTTTTGATATGAATGATAGCAAAAAACTTGTTTTGGTCAGGAAAAGGGTAGCTGGACTCCGAGTATGATTATATACAGTATGTGTAATGACCTCGAAGATTTTCAGTTTGAATATGTCTCAGATTTGTCTGATTAACTTGTAGATCTAGAGGCTCATCCTCTTGTATCGGGGGACATGGGGAGATACCATACTAGATTAAACTGATATAACAACAGCACAAAATCTGGAATCAGGTTTATACTGCTCCCAAGACCTGCACAAAATTCCTTTTATGCAGTAGATTTCAGTTGTTATTTTCGATTTGTAAACTTTTGTGGGGGCAAACTGAAATAAGGCAATTCAGAACCATTTGGCTCGGTATTACAGAATGATGTGAGATTTTAGATCCAGCAATCGGAAGTAATTTAAACGCTGTACAGTGTGAGATGAAAAAACTGCAACCAACTTCAGACTGCTGCCATGTCCAAGCCGCTCGTCCGACAGCTGTTAAAATTATTCCAGTGACAGCTTATTATATTGTTTACAAGCGTATAAAAGCATTTTGTTGAGAATTGTCCAGAAGAAAAGTTATTCGTGATGGAATTCAAGCGTGATTTCTTTATATTTGGCTGAAAAACCATCAAGTGACTATCGTTAGAGCACTCCAGCATTTAAATGTGAATAAATCTGTTGTGTATCGTACCATCGCTCGTTACCGTGATACTGGTAGCATACGCCGACGTCAAGGAAGTGGACGGAAGAAAACATTAGCAGAAATGGTTCGAAAAGTAAAGAAGCGACTTGATCCAAACCCCTGACGCAGTGGCCGAAAAGTAGCTCATGAGCTGAACATATCGCAATATTCCATTTGGCAAATATTGAAAAATGACCTCGGGGTAAAGCCATTGAAATTCCCAAAAAGTGCAAGAGCTTGCACCGCAAAAGAAAGAAAATAGATTCTAATGAGCTAAAGAGTTGCTTCGCCGAAAGTGGTGAACTGCCGAATTTGGTTTTCTCCGATGAGAAAACATTGGTAGTCCAGCAGTTTGTAAACAAACAAAATGATCGTGTTGACTTGCCAAAGAGGTCAACTGATAATGAGCACCTTCGGTTGGCCACCAGAACTGAAGCGCCGGCCATGGTGTGGGCCGCCATAACATCCGGTGGTCGCTCTCCGCTCGTATTAACCGACCGTGGCATCAGAATAAATTACGAATATTATCGCGAAAATATTTTGAATGATGTATTGAAGCCTTGGGCACGCAACCATTTTGGCCGCAGACCTTGGACATTCCAACAAGACACAGCACCATCGCACTCAGCACGCGCCACCCAAGAATGGTCACTTCATTTCCAGTGCACAATGGCCACCAAAATTTCCGGATACCAATCCGTTGGACTATTGTGTCTGGAGTATTTTGGAAAGCAAGGTTGGCACTAAAAAATACCAAAGTGTCGATCACCTCAAGCAAGCGCTTCGACGGGAATGGGCCAAAATAACGCAGAGTAACATTCGGGCAACGTGTTCAACGTTCATTGGCCGTATTAAGGCCATAATTCGTGCCAAAGGTGACCAATTCGAATAAATCTAAACATATTCTAAAATTTGATGCTATTTCCGACATTTTTTCTTTCATTCGATAAAATTAAAAAAAAATGTAAAAATTATGGCGTTTGACTTTGTTGCAGTTTTTTTTATCTCACCGTGGATTTCTTAAATAGGGGAAGGTCAGGATTGACAATATAGAAACGGTCCAATAAGGATAACAAAAATATACATTTTCTAAGAATCGTTGAAGAGAGAACTGCATTGACTATTAAGAATATTAAGAAGTTTTTCGGCTTTTCCAGGGTTTAAAAAGACATGAAGGATTGCGGATCTGTAAGTCCTTCAAACATAATCTCCTTATTTTTGTTAATATATCCAAAATTGCAGGACATTAAATCATTAAAAAAGAATTATGGTACCTTAATTTCTCTGCGAATATTTTTATAAAGTTCTTCTGTTATAAAACGCTAAGTTCCCTTTAAAATATTTTACTAAGCCTTGAATATACTTAAAAAAGACCAATATTTCAGGACATAAAGTCCTTAGAAATATATATTCATAATAATCCACGAAATAGATCCAAAGTACGTCGATATATTTAATATATATTTTATCTGTGTTTGGTAATAGCTCCTATAGAAGAAGCTGAACGGATAATTTCTCATAAAATCATTGCAACAGCTAAATCCGATGTTTATCTCGTAACCCACTTACCTTTAGATAATGCTTGAACTGATAGGTGCTCTTATTGTGGCCCGGTTTCGAAGTTTGCTTACAAAATAGCATAGATTTTTGATATAAAAATATATGTCTTTGTTGGGGTTTTATGCGCAGACGGATGTCTTTTTTCGACTCAGACCATACTTGAAATGAATCTTGCAACAATAACTCGCCTTGTTGAGATAAATCGGTCTGTAAAACAAAAAATAAAGCAAAAACAACAATCAGAATAGAATTTCCAAAATAAAACATATTCGTTTTAACTTACCGGGAATCCCGTGATAGCCACTTGATGCATTGAATCGTTGACACACTTCAGCACAATCAGCATACAGTCCAAAGCCTTTTGCAATTCTTTGGTACAGCTGCCGTTGTCACTGAATCGCAACAGATCCTTAAGTAACAATTGATATTTGGTTATACGCTGAACGGGCTTCAGCAGATACGCGGCTAGGGGCAGTTTGTGGCCCAAACGTTTTTGGCATTCTTGCAGGAAGAGATGGGTGTCGACCAGGGTTTCACGCAGACGATCTGATCGTGGGATGTTTTGGCAGTAGAACGAATATAAACGGTAAAAAGTATCACGCTGAAAAATAGAAGAGGACAGAGGGGAAAATATGTTAAGAAATTGTCAATTGAACTTAAATTTTTTCCGCTAAATTGGATATCTTGGATTAAGTGACTGGATGTATTTATAGAAGATATATCTTTTTACTGTGCTGAGCATCTCCTAATATTCAAGAAGTCAGGACCTAAATAGTTCAGGACCTAAATAGTTCAGTTTATCTGTGGAGGACGTCGTTTATCAGCATTCGAGTGGCGCCCAACGTTATTCTCAGACGATGAGCAAAACCGACTACCGGAGTCGTGCCTTGACATCTAAACGCGAAAGTGGAGTCAGAAGGGAATTACTGGAAGGGGGGCTGAGGACTTTCAATACCAGCGGACATTTAATCCAAAACCAGTCGACCTCTGTAATAAAATCCCGGACTGTGCTTGAAAGGAAAATGACCGTCAAAACTGCTCTACAGTGATCGAGGGGATTTGGTCAACTACAAAAAGAACTCTGAGGACCTAATTTGTTTTACATATTTTATGCAGGGGTGATAATATACTAATCAGAACGGCTAGATACATCAAACATGAGGATGGACTTGATGAAATGAAAAATTTTGGAATTAAAGGACGATTTTAATGGTATTGTGAGTGGGACTCTCTGACTAACACTTAACATAAGACCTTCTATGGCTATATGCTGTGTTTGTTTAAAGAAGGGAAAGGGGGGATTTGGCGGTGAACAGACTAACCGCGCCCTAAGCCGCACTGAAAAATTACCCTTCTGGGAGATCGATTATTCAAGCAATATACAGGGTGAGATGAAAAACTGCAACCAATTTTAGAATGCTGTCATTTCTAAGCCACTCTTCCGACAGCTGTTAAAATTATTCTAGTGACAGCTGATTATATTGTTTACAAGCGTACAACAGCATTTTGGTGAGAATTTTCCAGAAAAAAAGTTATTCTTGATAAAATTCAAGCGTGATAGTGTGATTTCTTTATATTTGGCTGGGAAACCACAAGTGGCTAGCGTTAGAGCACTCCAACATTTAAATGTGAATATATCTTTTGTGTCTCGTACCGTCCCTCATTACCGTGATACTGGTAGCGTAGCCCGACATATGTCAAGGAAGTGGACGGAAGAAAACAGCAACATCTGCAGAAATGGTGCGAAAAGTAAAGAAGCGACTTGATCGAAACCCACGTCGTGCTGGCAGAAAAATGGCTCGTGAGCTGAACATAACGCAATATTCCATTCGGCAAATATTGAAAAATGAGTTCGGGGTAAAGCCATTGGAATTCCAAAAAGTGCAAGAACTTGCACCGCAACAGAAAGAAAATAGACTCAAAAGAGGTAAAGAGTTGCTTCGCTTGGCCGAAAGTGGTGAACTGCCGAATTTGGTTTTATCCGATGAGAAAACATTGGTAGTCCAGCAGTTTGTAAACAAACATAATGATCACAGTTACTTGCCAAAGAGGTCAGCTGAAAATGTGCACCTTCGGTCGGTTGGTTGGTGTGGGCCGCCATAACAGCCGAAGGTCGCTCTCCGCTCGTATTAATCGACTCAGCACGAATGGTTACAGAATGAGGTTCCTTTCTTCATTACCAGTGCACAATGGCCAGTAAAATCTCCGGATACCAATCCGTTGGACTATTGTTTTTGGAGTGTTTTGGAGAGCAAGGTTGGCACTAAAAAATACCAAAGTGTCGATCACCTCAAGCAAGCGCTTCGCCGGGAATGGGCCAAAATACTGCAGAGCAACATTCGGGCAGCGTATAACAGTTTCATTGGTCGTTTGAAGGCCATAATTCGTGCCAAAGCTGACCAATTCGAACAAATGTAAACTTATTCTAAAATTTGATGCTATTTCCTACATTTTTTCCTTTCATTTAATAAAATTAAAAAAAAATGTAAAAATTATGGCGTCCTTAAAAATCTAAGATTGGATTGTCTAGAGTTCCGCAAAAAATCTAAGATTGGAGACTCTTAAGTCCTTCAAAAAACGTCCAAGATTAGAAACTCAAAAGTCCAGTCCAAAGATTGGAAACTCAAAATTCCTTTTATAAATACTGCGATTTGAGGTTATCAAAGACTTAAAAAATGTCACTATTAGAGGTTCTGAGGTCCTTTAAAGATGTTCACGATTATAGGGTTCGATGTGAGGTTCTAAATGTCCAGCCCTTTGAAAAAGTACACGATTGAAGGACCTTGTCCTTCTAAGAAGCCCACTATTATATAACTCAATAATGTCCACCATTAATAACCCTATAATCCTTAAAAAAATCTAAAATTGGACGCTAAAATATCCTTCACAAAATTAAAAAAATTCGAGGTTCTAAACTCCTTGAAAAAGTCCATGGTTTAAGGTAGTAATGTCCTTCCAAGAAGGAAGGACTCTAAAGTCCTAAAGACTTTCAAAAAAGATCCTTCAAAAATTCAACGATTAGAGTCACTAAACTTCTTTAAAAAGTCTAAATTGTGGGTCCTTAAGACCTTTAAAAAATACAAAACTAGAACTCTGAAGACATCAAAAAGTCCAGATTTAGTGACCTTTAAAAAGCCCAAAAAAAAAGGTTTCATCGTCCTATAAAAATTAAAGATTAGAGGGTTAGAGTCATTAAAAAGTCCAAAAAAGGAGATACCACAAAGTCCTTAAAAAAGGACACGATTAGAAATTTAAAAGTCCGTCGAAAAGATTCACGATTAAATTCTGTTTAGAAATCCAAAATGAAATTATGTTCAGGTCATTAAAAAGTACGCGATTAAAGGCTCTAAGTCCTTCCAAAAGTCCACAATCAGAGACCTTATGATCCTATAAACAATCCACTATACAAATATCCTGACCTCCTTAAAGACAGATTTCTTTATTTCACTCACCCTTTGTACAAAACATAATGCCACCAGTTCCGTGGTGGATATACAATTCTCCAAATCCTTGAGAAAAACGTCATTGTGAAATGTGTAGAGCTCATGGAGATTACCAAAGAGGATGTCTTCTTTGCCCTGTAAACTGGCCGGTACCAGGTGCATCATCTCTTCCGAATGCATTTGGTCACAGTAACCCTAAAAATGGACAAACGGGAAAAACAAAAACAAACAATAAAATAATTTAATCATTGAAATCATTAGATTTCAAACTAGTTCAACATTTACACATTCCGAACAGTTATCCGCCGAACATTCGCCCCGTTCCGTCTCCCTTAGACTCGAAACATATTTACTCAATTCTTGTTCAATGAATTGACCAAATTTATCCTCCACATAATCTTGGACTTCGGCGTAGCCTTGATTCGCCACAAACTCCTTGAGAATTTGTTCGTATTTTTGTTCCTTAAATTTGCCAAAGGTGAATTTGGGCATTTCAAAACCATTGTGGGTGGAGGTGAAACTTTCTTCGAAAAATTCTTGACAAAATTTTAGAATTTCACGATACGAAGAGGAAAAGAAATTGTTGTTGCCATTCGATTTGGCTTTCTCTTCAATTTGTTCACGATTCCGGGGAGCTTTAAGGGTATTCACACCATATGATGGACATGGACTATAATTCCCCATGGCTGAGCGGCAGGTGGAGCAGACAAGACTTTCAATTTGTGGTGTCCGTTTGGGTTCTTTAATGGGTTTGGGTGTGGATAGGAGTTTCAAGCTATTCAGTGAGTTTTTACCCAAAGCCGACTGGGCCCGGGCCACCGAGGAGGATATGGACATCATACTTTTCGGTTCGGCACAGTCCTCCAGATAACTCAGAATATCTGAGTAATTTTTTCTTTGCAAATACTCCTTGAATTCCAAATCATTTTCAATTTCCGAATATGAGTTACACTCCAAATAATCCTTGACCAGACGAAACTCCAAAGACTCATCACAACTTGAAAGCTCCAAAAGCTCTTTGAATATTGTCTTACGTTCGTCCTTTAAACGCTGCAGGCTATTTTTGGCCGATTTAATGGATTCCAATGAATTACTCTCCTCAATTTCCTTGAAGGTATTTAAAATTTTTATTGTCGATTTGCCATTGAGCATATTGCGAGCCGATAAATTATAGATATTGGTTCCAAATATATAATTATGTTGATCTTTACATTCACTGAAATCGAAATGGGGCCGGAAATCATTTTTAGTATAGCGTATGGTTGAGGTTACGGCAGCACTTCTCCGGCCATTGTCCGAACAACTTTCCGAATCGAATAGCGACCCTCGAAATGATAGAGGTGAGTTGCGTCCTCCCGACGAAGCCTCGTGGAAAGCTTTTACAGAGTACAGCTTTCGCAGCGAATGATGTAATTTGGTATTGAACTTCTCCATGATTTGACAGGCTGTGTTGTGGACCTTCTTCAAATGAAATGTTCCCGTGGGATTTGTGGCATTATCCGTCGAGGTGTTGGTGGCCTTTGAAGCTTTTTGCAAATCATAACCACCATAACGCATTGTGGTTTTTGTGATTTTCTTTCAATTTTCTAATTTTTAAACGTTCCGTTCCGTTCCTCAGCCACTCTCAACTATCTTTCTTCGGCGAATTATTGCAAATGTTTTACTTTTCCATGTTGAAGTTTGCCTAAAGTCCATCCGCGTTTAAGCCAAGACTTCTAACAAAACAGCATGCCATGAACATCACTTATCCGCCTGCCTGCCTCCGTGCCTGCCTTTTCACCCATCCCACCCAAGACCAAGCCGAACACACAAACTTGACAATGATGATCACCGTGCAATCTTCAACGTAGCCATCCACGCTTTTGATCATTTCAAATCGTATTTTGTCTGAGGGGAATTATAAAATATTCTGTTTTTTTGTTTGCTTCTTTTGTTGTTGCTGTTTTTTGTTGTATCTTTGGAAAATCCATTCAGAGTCGCAGTTTTGAAAAGGTGCAGTGCAGCAGCTGTCTGAGGGTTATTGTTTTTAGATTTCACAATAAAAAATATTTCACATAAAGTTACATCCATGGCCTTTCATATTTACGCATTTTGTAAGAGCTTTGTTTTGTGCGATATCGGATTTGATTTGATTCATAACTCAAAATTAAATAAAACATATGATGCGTGATCTTGGGCATTCAATGAATGCATGTTTTGGTGCAGTTCGTTGCCCTGTCTAGTGAAGGCCAACTAAAGTGACCTTACAAATCGAAATTTTCCTAAACAAATATTAAGTTTCCATTCCCATAGCTTCCTCATGGATAATATGTTGTTTTGCGATTACAAAAAAATATTTTTTCATTTGATATTCAAAAATTTTCTAATAATGTACATAATTTTGTACAAACAGTACTATTTGTACATATTTATTACAAAATAACATCCAGCAAATATGTGCTTTTGGTACAATTTTCGCCTTTATTTGGCAAAAAAGTACACTTTATGAAATCAATAAGAAAAAGTTAAAAGTCGGACGGGGCCGACTATATGATACCTTACACTACTAAGCATATTTAGTAGAGCTCCTGTAACAAAAGAATTATTTTGAAATAGATCATAGCAGCTATCAACATTTTTGGTTTTAGAGCAGTTAAAATTTGAGTTCAGAGGGAACTAATCTTTAGGAGGCATATCCAATTTTGAATCGATTTTTACTAAATTTGACGGAGAAATTTTTATCTTTTATACCAAATAACATTGCTAGAAACTGGAGAATATCACTTCGAGAAGGATTATATTTAAACAAACATATATCGAAGCCGAGTTCTACCGAAATTCACTCCATTTGGGTTGATATTAGCCATTATTTGCACAATAAACCTGAAATCGGATTAATCATATATATATATATATATATATATATGGGAGCTATATCCAAATCTTAGCCGAACTCGATAAAATTTGGCAAAGAGCTCGGAAATTTCTATAAGATATCTGGTATCAAATATCATTGTTGTCGAATTCATATTATGAATGTGAGAGACTTAAACACCAAATCGGATGAAACATATATATGGGAGCTAAAGCTATATCTTAATCGATTTTCACCAAATTTGATGCACTTGCTTCTAGGCTGAATTCGGTCGGATGCACCAAAATTCAAGTCATTTGTACTAATATTCGCCATTTGGTGCGCAATTAACGCGAAATCGGTTGAAGATATATATGGGAGCTATATACAAATCTGAACCGATCTTAATGCAATTTGGTGTATCTCATATCTGTTACCAAATATGATTCTTGTGGAGTGAACCATATATATGGGAGCTATAGCTGTATCTGAAGCGATTTTCACCAAATTTGATGTACTTGCTTCTAGATCGAATTCGGTCGGATATACCAAACTTCATTTCATTTGAATTGATATTCGCCATTTGGTGCGCAATTAACCCGAAATCGGTTAAAGATATACAGGGTGAAATGGAAAAACTGCAACTAACTTCAAACTGCTGTCATTTCCAAGCCACTCGTCCGACAGCTGTTAAAATTATTCCAGTTGCAGCTCATTATATTGTTTACAAGTGTACAAAAGCATTTTGGTGAGCATTTTCCGGAAAAACAGTCATTCGTGATGGAATTCAAGCGTGATAGGGTGATTTCTTTACATTTGGCTAGAAACCCACAAGTGGCTATCGTTACAGCACTCCAGCATTTAAATGTGAATAAATCTCTTGTGTCTCGTAACATCGCTCGGTACTGTGATATTGGTAGAATAGCCCGACGTCAAGGAGGTGGACGGAAGAGAACAGCAACATCAGCAGAAATGGTGAGAAAAGTAAAGAAGCGACTTAATAGAAACCCGCGTCGCAGGGGCAGTAAAATGGCTCGTGAGCAAGCATATTGCTATATTCCATTGTTTATATATGGCTGGAAAACCAAAAGTGGCTATCGGCAGAGAACTCCAACATTTAAATGTGAATAAATCTTTTGTGTTTCGTACCATCGCTCGTTACCATGATACTGGTAGCATAGCCCGACGTCAAGGAAGTGGACGGAAGAAAACAGCAACATTAGCAGAAATGGTTCGAAAAGTAACGAAGCGACTTGATTGAAACCCGCGTCGCAGTGGCCGAAAAATGCCTTGTGAGCTGAACATATCGCAATATTCTATTCGGCAAATATTGAAAAATGAGCTCGGGGTAAAGCCATTGAAATTCCAAAAAGTGCAAGAACTTACACCGCAATAGGAAGAAAATATTCTCAAAAGAGCTAAAGAGTTGCTTCGCTTGGCCGAAAGTGGTGAACTGCCGAATTTGGTTTTCTCCGATGAGAAAACATTCATTGTCTAGCAGTTTGCAAACAAAATGATCGTGTTTACTTGCCCAAGAGGTCAGCTGAAAATTTGTACCTTCGGTTGGCCACCAGAACTCAAGCACCGGCAATGGTGATGGTGTGGGCCACCATAACAGCCATGGCATCAGAATAAATACCGAATATTATCGCGAAAATATTCTGGAGGATGTATTAAAGCCTTGGGCACCCAAACATTTTGGCCGCAGACATTGGATATTCCAACAGGACTTAGCACGTGCCACCCAAGAACGGTTATAAAATGAGCTTCCTCGCTTCATTTCCACCAAAATCTCCGGATACCAATCCGTTGGATTATTGTGTCTGGAGTATTTTGGAAAGTAAAGTTGGCACTACAAAATACCAAAGTGTCGATCACCTCAAGCAAGCGCTTCGCCGGGAATGGGCCAAAATACCGCAAAGGAACATTTGGGCAGCGTGTGAAGTTTTCATTGGCCGTTTGAAGGTCATTATTCGTGCCAAAGGTGACCAATTCGATCAAATCTAAACTTATTCTAAAATTTGATGCTATTTCCGACATTTTTTGCTTTCAATCAATACAATTGAAACAAGTTAAAAAGCAGTAAGTTCGGCCGGGCCGAACTTTTAATACCCTCCACCATTTGCAACGAATTTGGAAATTTTTAAAAAATAAAAACCTGAAAAAATTCTGTTAACATTTTAAAAATACCGAATATAGCCGTTATATTTTGGGGTCTATACGACGTGGACATACATAGGCATTGTTTGTCATAAGCCATTACCATATTCAAATTCGTTATATCGGAGCTGTGCGAATACCTGGACCAGCATAGACAATTTTCTGTAACAGGCTGTAGCATCCATTACGAACTTCAAATACCACATCTCAAACAATAACAATGACAAAATTAATATACCCTTGGGTCTGACATGGGTATTTCGAGGAGTTACAAACGGAGTGACAAAGTTAATATATCCTCCATAGTATGGTGGAGGGTATAAAAATATGTAAAAATTATGGCGATTGACTTTGTTGCAGTTTATATACCCTCCACCATACTATGGAGGATATATTAACTTTGTCATTCCGTTTGTAACTCCTCGAAATACTCATGTCAGACCCAACAAAGTATATATTTTCTTGATCAGCGTAAAATTCTAAGTCAATTTAGCGATGTCCGTATGTCTGTCTGTCTGTCCGTCTCTCGGTCTGTTGTAATCACGCTATCTTTCGAACGAATTGAGATAGAAAGGCACAATTTTGCATACATGTTTATTTTGCCAGTAGGCAGGTTAAGTTCGTAAATGGGCCATGTAGGTCCACGTTTTCATATAGCTCCCATATAACGGTACCTCCCGATATTCGGTATTTTTATGATTTTAGCGATATTATAACCCGAATTGTTTCAAACTTGGTATTTAATGTTCGTAATGAATGCTTCAGCCTATGACAGGAGATTGTCTGTACAGGTCCACGTCTTCGTATAGTCCCCATATAACGGTACCTACCGATATTCGGTATTTTGATGATTTTAGCTGCATTATTACCGATTTTTTTTTAAGTTTCGCATTTGAATATTGTAATGTCTTATGACAAAAGTTACGTATGCAGTTCCACTGCAGGAGGAGAAGTATACCGAACAATACTTCTTGGCCTATAGACGCCATCGAGCATTCAAAGTGAGGATACACGTCGACACAATTTGCCGTGTAGATGGCACACTATAATTTGTAAAGATTGCAAGAAAGGTTGGTCATATCAACAACTTTTAAATTTGTCAGGTGTAGATGCCGCCCAAAGCATTAACATTTTCTTATTTAGCATCAATTCAAAAACAATTATTTTCAAGTTGCTCTTATCGGATTTGTATGATTTTACATATTTTGACTTTACAGCGAGCTTTACACGCTTTGAGAAAATTAATATATACGAGAACGCATAGCAACGAAAAATGCTTGTAAAATGTCAAAACTAGATGGCATTCCTTTAAGAACAAGATATCTGCCAATCATACACTATGAATCATGCTATTACTACCTTTGACTTTTCCAAATTTGTGGAGTCAATAGTTTTTAAATACACTTGAGCCCGATTTGCGTCGTTAATGGGGACCGGAGAATTGCGACGCAACTCAAAACGACGACGCAAGTCGGGGCTATAGTGTACCTTAATATGTGTATGGTTTTTTTTAAGTATAAACTTGGCAGATTTTTAAATTTGCAGTAGATTCATGCACGCATATCCCATACCCTTCTAATGATCGTATTTCCTCCACGACTCTGTAATGGCAGTTAGAAAAACAAAAAAATGAACAACAAATCACTTAATGCACTAATTGCAATCATAAGCATACATGAGCAGTATTGTTGTTGTAATTGTTTTTCTTTCCTAGCTAACTACTGCATATTTCTTTTCCATTTCTGATACTATTATTGTTGTTTCGTTTTGAATCTTTGGGCCAGCCAATGCATTTTCTAAGATTCCTATTTCATTTGAAAACGCTGCAGCGAAGTTGGTTTTGCTAAGCTTGCATTTTTTACCGTTTCTAGAATATAATTTATCGCCTTTTTAATTTTTCTGCCAAAAAGAAACTCCTCTCCTCTAATAACAGCTGTCAGTTATGTGGTCAGCCCATCAGTCCAGCAAATTGTGTACTAAATTAGTTCACTGACCACTGATGGTGGTGGCGGAGGATTGTCGGCTGGTTGTGGTTATGGCCAGTGGAGAATGGGCGTATGTGTTATTATTTTTGAACGTTATTTAGATTTTGGCTTCTGGTTTCTTGGGAGAGGGTACTCTTTTTTTAATAGTTAAATATTTCATGGTTTTATGATGATTACTTGGCAATTATAAGTTAAGATTTTTTTACTTTGGTTGTTGGAATTTTGTTTTGTTCTTTGCCTTACCAATAACTGTTGGTCGGGGTTCTGTTGCGTTGCGTTTTGTTGTTTTTTTTTTGCTTTTATTAATTACTGCTTGGTAATTTATTCACCCAAGAATATTACATATTTATTGGCCGTAACTAGTTTCGAACGTTGGGTACTGTAAACTGCTCGGGGGGCAAGTGGTCGAACGGAATGCGTTCAATGTTCAAGTTGAAGTCTACACCAGTTGTTAATGGACTTTGGAAACTTACCTTTAATATTGAACTCATTTCACTGACATAGATACGTTCGGTTTCCAATAGTTCGGTTAGAACATGGCCACGTTTCAAACGTCGGGCTTCCATGTCCTGAAAGAAAGGAGAAAAAAAAAATAAATGAATAACATATTTATGCGCATTGATAGGAAATCTTAAACAGATCTTCTTTAGATAGGAAAATTTAAAACTATTTTTTCAGAATAGTGACTTGGATACAATTACGTTTAATATTTGTACAGCATACTTTTAGGCGCTAACATCGTTTTTGAAACTAAAAGAAAACGCTTTGTCATGTAGGGTAAATTGAATAAGATAGCAGACCGGTCTCCTAAATAGACAGGATAATGGACTCCTATATTGATAGGAGACAGGTCTTGCATAAATGGAGAATAGGTCTCCAATAGATAGGAGACAGGTCTCCCATACAGGTAGGAGACAGGTCTCTTATACAGATAGGAGACAGGTCTCCTATACAGATAGGAGATAGGTCTCCTATACAGATAGGAGACAGGTCTCCTATATAGATAGGAGACAGGTCTCCTATACAGATAGGAGACAGGTCTCCTATACAGATAGGAGACAGGTCTCCTATACAGATAGGAGACAGGTCTCCTATACAGATAGGAGACAGGTCTCCTATACAGATAGGAGACAGGATTCCTATACAGATAGGAGACAGGTCTCCTATATAGATAGGAGACAGGTCTCCTATATAGATAGGAGACAGGTCTCCTATATAGATAGCAGACAGTTCTCCTATACAGATAGGAGTCGGGTCTCCTATAAAAATAGGAGACAGGTCTTCTATACAGGTAGGAGACAGGTCTCCTATACAGATAGGAGACAAGTCTCCTATACAGATAGGAGACAGGTCTCCTATACAGATAGGAGACAGGTCTCCTATACAGATAGGGGACAGGTCTCCTATACAGATAGGGGACAGGTCTCCTATATAGATAGGAGACGGGTCTCCTATACAGATAGGAGACAGGTATCCTATATAGATAGGAGACAGGTCTCCTATACAGATAGGAGACAGGTCTCCTATACAGATAGGAGACAGGTCTCCCATACAGATAGGAGACAGGTCTCCTATACAGATAGGAGACAGGTCTCCTATACAAATAGGAGACAGGTCTCCTATACAGATAGGAGACAGGTCTCCTATTCAGATAGGAGACAGGTAGATAAGAGAAAGGTCTCCTGTTCAGATAGGAGACTGATCTTCTATAGTTAGGAGACTGATCCCTGGTCTCCTATAGATAGGAGTCGGATCTCCTTTAAATAGGAAACTGGTCTCCTATAGATAGTTAGTTAGTAGACTGGTCTCCTGCAGTTAGAAGATTGGTCTCCTGCAGTTAGGAGATTGATCTCCTATATTAGGAGACTGGTCTCCTATAGTCAGGAGACTTGTTTGCTATAGCTAGGAGAGTGGTCTCCTATAGCTAGGAGACTGGCTTCCTATAGCTAGGAGACTGGTCTCCTGTAGCTGGGAGACTAGTCTCCTATAGCTAGGAGACTGTTCGCCTAGCTTAGATAGACTGGTATAGATAGTAGACCTGATAGGATTCCAATCTTACCTGTTGACTTTCACCGACATCGGAGTTACAACCATTGTCACCGTTCAGTGAAACACCCGAGTCCATGGCACAATCCATGGATCGGGGACGTAATTCGTGAATAACATCAGTCTGAAAAAAAAAAACAAACAAAAATGTCAGTTGATTAATTTTTTGCACATTCCAGATAAAAAATACAAAATTACAAATAAAAAATACAATGACATTATATTCCCATTTATTTCGATTGGCCAAAAAAATGTTATTCGAAATAACGTTGTGGGATCGAAATTAGGGTCAGCTGTTATAAAATGATTTAAAACAATCGGCGAACAAAGAATGAAGTCCGCAACAAATATTTAACAAAAATAGGTATTTCACCACAAAATTTTGGAGAAACGGACAAATAATACAACAACAGTTAAGATTTTGTTGTTGTTGTAAACCATGTTTTTTTTTTCAAGAAGCTAAGAAGAAATCTCGTCTGCCAAAGACATCAACAATGGATCATTATTTCAATGTTAGCCCCCTTCTCCTCGTCTTTCTCTCTCTCCCTCCCTCCTTCTGTCTAATTCCACTCATGTTAATAGTGGTTAGATATTCCATTTAAATGAGTAAAACGGTTCTTTTCTTTTGTCGAACCTACGGGGTTAGCTGTGTTTTTTTTTTGAGGGGGTTTTGATTTCTTCTGCATCTGTGTTTCTAATGAATGATGAAAAGAGAGAAGAGGGACACAGTGTATAAGAAATTATGATATTCGAAATAATGTAGGAGATCGTTGGTATACAGAAGAGCTTTTGTAGGTTTTCGGTAAGAAGCAAATGTGCGGGATAAGGCAGGGAGGTCAAGCAAGGGGACAAATTCTAAGTTTGAAATAATCCCGGTGGAAATTGTGGCTAAAATCGTGGAAATACCGAATAAAGGGAGGTACAGTTGGGTCTATTTGAGCACTTATATGCAAGGATGTTTCCTACATATTGGGAACACAAACTGTCAATTTGTAGCAAATTAGGTTACGAATTTTGACCGAAACTCCCAAAATACCCAAGATTTGCCGGTATAGTTATATGGGGGATATAAGAAAGCGTGGACCTATATATGACCCATTTTTAATACCAAAAATCGTATTATTGGATTTTTATACCCTACACCATATCGTGGTAAGGGTATTATGTCTTTGTGCATTTATTTGTAACATGGAGAAAGAAGAGAGATAGACACATAGTTACTTTGGAAGATCTTCAAAAAAACACTTTCTGAGTCGATGTATGGACGGACGGACCCATGTATTTTTGTGAACAATTATCATTTATTATCCGGTTGAGGTGAAATATTCCAGACAATATTTGTTTGGCCCAATGACGAACTCTATTGAAATTGGTGAGAATCGGTTCTAATTTTGATATAACCCCCATATATATCTTCAACCGATTTCGGGTTAATTGTGCACCAAATGTCCAATATCAGTCCAAATGACCTGAATCCTGGCACACCCGACCGAATTCAATCTAAAAGCAAGTACTTCAAGTTTGGTAAAAATCGGTTCAGATATAGCTATAGCTCCCATATATATGTTTCATCCGATTTGGTATTTAAGTCCCTCACATTCGTAATATATTCTCCACAAAAATGATATTTGGTACTAGATATCAGATACAGTCCAGAAATACCTCTATCTAATTTTATCGAGATCGAATCAGATTTGGATATAGCTCCTTTATATATCTTTATCCGATTGCAGGTTTATTGTGCACCAAATGGCTAATATCAGCCCAAATGGACTGAATTTTGGCAATTTTGACTGAATTCATCCTAGAAATAAGTACTTTAAATTTGGTGAAAATCGGTTAAGATAGAGCTATAGCTCCCATATATATGTTTCATCCGATTTGGTATTTAAGTCCCTCACATTCGTAATATATTCTCCTCAAAAATGATATTTGGTACTATATTTCAGATACAGATTAGCCCAAATGGACTGAATTTTGGCAATTACGACTGAATTAATCTTAGAAACAAGTACTTCAAATTCAAATTCTTCGGTTCAGATATAGCTATCTGATTTGGGATTTTAAGTCCCTCACATTCGTAATATGCACCCCACAACAACGATCTTTGGTACCAGGTGTCAGATACAGCTCAGAAATATAGCTCCCATATATATCTTTATCCGATTTCAGGTTTATTTTGCATCAAATGGCTAATCTCAGCCCAAATGGACTGAATTTTGGCACTTCCGACGAAATTCAACCTAAAAGCAAGTGCTTCAAATTTTGGTGAAAATCGGTTTAGATATATCATTATCTCCCACATATATATGTTTTATCCGATTTGGTGTTAAAGTCCCTGCGCTCCACAACAATGTTATTTGATACCGGACATCAGATACAGCTTGAAAATACCTCTGCCAAATTTAATGGAGATCGGTACAGATTTTTATATACCTTCGATATGCATCTTCTTCCGATTTTACGGTTATTGCGCACCATATATGTACTATAACAGCTCAAATTGGATAGATTTTTTCACATTCAACCGATTTTTTCATTTGGCGAAACTTGGTCCGGTATATCGAATGCTCCAATAAATATTTTTAATATAATTCTTATCAAAGTCATATCATGCACTATACAGGATTGTTTCGGTACTAGAGGTGCAAAAGCCCCCGAAACACACAATCGCCCATTTCAAAACACTGTGCACTTGCATTCCCTTCTCTCCCTCTTCCACCTCCTTCTACGAAATAATCTTAGCTACTTTAACACATTTCGTGTTGGAGAGTATTTTTTTTGTTTTGACCAACTTTTAACTGCTAAAGCGCTATATTCATCAAATTCAAGTGTGTGTGGTGTGAGAGTGTGTGTGCGTGTTTCTTTGTTTTTGGCAGTGAAACACTTTCGCTTACAAGAAATAAAATAAAAAACGTTAAAAGTACCAACCAAAGCCACCATTCAGCGGCTGATGGATTTGTTGGCTCTGATGGTGTGGCAGGCAGGCATACCAAAAAAATATACGATGCGTGCGCATGTGCAGCAGCTATGACAATTCAAAATTTCTAGTCTTGTCTACTCTGACTGGCTGTCTGTCTGTCTGTCTGTCTGCCTGCCTGTCACTCACTCAGTCAATGTTATGAACCATTTAACTTGAACTTTAGATCAGAAATGTTCATTAAACATTTCTGAATGAATTTAAGCTTTGAAGAAGAAAATTTTTATTTCTTTTTTTCCTCTCCTTTGTTGTTATTTTTATTGCTGTTGTTTCGTGTGACAGCTTATCATGGGCAAATACATATATGAGTCATGTATGTTTTTGTTTATGTTTCTTATATGAGGGATTTTGTTGTGTGGCTGTTATTTTGAAATTACAACTGGTTGGTGAAATTCTTCTTTAGAACTTTAATATTTTTGAAAAAAAAAGAGAAAACTCAACAATGTTTTGTTGGAATTTTCTCAAGTTGTTATTGGGGATTAAGTAATAATAAATGGGCCTAATTTTTCTCACATAAAAAAAAATTTTGCCTTTGGAATTAATTTTTATATTTCACAGAAGAACATTTTTGGAAAAAAAAAATAAAACAGATTTTAATGTTGGATTTTTCGAGGAAAACGTGCAGAACAGAACACAGAATATCTTCTGTAACTCCTAATGGTTTCCTATGCCGATCCTGGTGAACCTTTATATCAGGCCATTTCTTGTCATCACCGATATCTAAAATGTTTAAGCGATGGATAGTAAACATATTATGACTCATGTCAACAAAAAATTACGTCAAAATTGTAAAACTCTTTTATAAGTCACCTTATTCTAAAAGGCCACCTATAGGTCTTCTAAGCAGCATATAGGTCTTCTGATTACAATTCGGTTAAAATCACGATAGGGCTGGGAATATTTAGGATCGTAACGATTCTCACTCTTCACTGGACATCGAGTGGGAGTACTTCTACGAATAAAAAATAGAAATCGAGTGCTACATGTTTCTATGCCCCCTTCTACTGGTACCTCCACCACAAACAAACACTGCAAGTATTGCAAGGTACCGGTTGATTTTGGGTACAAAAACAACAAAAGCAACGACCCTATCATATACTTTGTTGGTACAAATTGGTGACAATGTCTTTCAATGGATTTACAAATAAAACCTGATTTTACTCTTACCCGAAAACGAGCAAAGTCTACTCGCTCTATTCGAGAGACATAGAAAAAGCGCGAGGGCGCTCCTGGGATCAAAATAAAAAAATCGAGCAAACTCAATTGAAAACAATTAAAAAAGCAACTTAGTTCGGCCGGACCGATTTTTTATACCCTCCACCATTTGGAAGAAACTTGAAAATATTAAAAACAAAAATTCGCCGAAAAATACAGCTTAAATGAAACACTTTATATGGAAGCTATACAAAGACGTGGTGCTGCATCAGTATTTTTTTGCCATAGGCTACAGTATCCATTGCGGTGAATAATGTCGCTAAAATCATCAAAATGCTTATATTGGGAGGTACCGTTATATGAGGGCTATTCGAAGACGAGGACCTGCGCAGACAATTTTTTGTCATAGGCTGTAAGTTTCCAATACGAAGTTTTTAATACCAAATTTGAAACATTTCCGGTGAATAATTTCGCTTAAATCAAATACCGTAAATAGGGAGGTATCATTATATGGGGCCTACCCAAAACTTGGACCTACATGGATCATTTTCAATACCAAAAGTCCTGCAGACATATTATACATTTGAGTAAAATTTTATCAACCTAATTCATTTCATTCGGAAGCTGCAGTGATTTCCATAGACGGATAGACGGACGGACATAGCTAAATCGACATAGAATTTTATGCTGGTCAAGAATATACAGGGTGAGATAAAAAAGCTGCAACAAAGTCAAACGCCATAATTTTTACATTTTTTTTAAATTTTATTGAATGAAAGCAAAAAACGACGGAAATAGCATCAAATTTTAGAATAAGTTTAGATTTGTTCGAATTGGTTAACTTTGGCACGAATTATGGCCTTCAAACGGCCAATGAAACCGTCACACGCTGCTCCAATGTTGCTCTGCGGTATTTTGACCAATTATTTCCGGTGAATCGCTTGCATGAGGTTATCGACACTTTAGTATTTTTTAATGCCAACCTTGCT